GGGCGGCCAGCTTTTCGCTAATTATGGAATAGTCCGCACCAGTGTTCACTAAAGCGCTGACTTCGCGACCATCTAGCAGAACAGGAATATCTAAGGAAATTCTTCCGCAATCAGCCGGTGGTGTCGTTGTCGATGTATCGTCGGTATCTTCAGTCCGCGTCGATAGGGGGCCTTGAGCACGACCAGTCTGAGCGGCCTTGCCCCTGAAGGTTGCTGAGGCTAGTTTTCCCGACGCAAGTTAGGTGACCGGTCCCTGTGCCACGCCCGCATAGGTGCGATGATTCGGCGAGAACCGCCGCGGTGATGGAGAGCGTGAGTGGTGCCGAGATGTCGATCCGCGCTGCTGAGCAACATAGTCAGCGATTTCCGGAGGCCGCTGGCCGAACCTAGGAGGTGGGGAGTTGGCCGAAAAACCACGAAGTCCCAGCTCTCGATAAGTGCACTGTCGGTAGATGTGCCCAGGTTCACCACAGTGATAGCAAAGGGGACGTCGAACGGGGGCCCGCCACACGTCTGATTTCCGCGGAATCGGTCGGCGGTCACTGAGGTACAGGCCCGCTTAAACTGCCTGAAGCATGGCTGGGGCTGTGGTACATGGCGGAGTGAAATGTGGTGCAGGTTGGCGCAGTGTTTGGTCTGCCGGAAGCATGGCAGGGGCCGCGGTGGGAAGCGGAGCCAAAGGTGGTGCTGGCTGGAGCAGAGTTTGCGCATACAACATGCGAGGGAAGTTATTTAGGGGCCGCGGCTCTGTCTAACAGGACGGTTCTCGTAGTGCTTGCTGAACTTCATCTCGGACGATGCCGGACAAAGAACTGACAATGGGCGCCGAGGGTACAGATAACTTCTGCAGTTCTTCGCGAATTACAGAGCGTATGAGCTCTCGGAAGAAGTCGACGTGGCCCCCAAGACCACCCATGTAGTCCGTAGCAGAGGCAAAGTTCACTTGTCGCTCGTACGTCTCAGTCCGTTGACGAAGCGTGTTTTCAATCAAGACGGCTTCAGCAAAAAACTCTGACGTAGTCTTGGGGGGGAGGCTGCGTACAAGACCACCGAACAACTGCTCCTTCACTCCACGCATCAGGTATCGCACCTTCTTCTCTTCCGGCATGTAAGGGTCGGCTCGTCGAAAAAGACGCATCATGTCCTCAATATACATTGCTACGCGTTCATTTGGCATTTGCATACGGCACTGGAGTTCACGTTCAGCTCGCTCTCGGCGATCGGGACTTGCATACGTTTCGAGAAGCCGGCGTTTGAAGTCCACCCATGACGTGAACACACCTGCCCGGTTTTAGTGCCAAACACATGCCCCGTCATTCAAACTTAAGTAGACATGTCGGAGCTCGTCTGCGTCATCCCACATGTTATGAGCGGCAACGAAGGCATAGTGGACTAGCCAACCTTCAACATCCTCATGGACAGCACCATGAAAGGGATTCGGCGTTCGTGGTTTGAACAGCGTATATTGCAATGGCGTTGCACCTTCCATACCGGCTGGGTTGGAGCCACTTGGGACGGCACTGCCTGGAATAGTTGGGGCCGTCATCTTTTCTGAGAGAAGTCCGAACTCAGGGTCCAGTCCACGGATCCTGCGGCTAGCACGGTGAACAGGCGTAATCACCGGTATGGGGCTCGAGCTTCTTGTACTGGGAGGGGTTCGGTGCATAGGGTACCCAGCACCTCCACCAGTTGTCACGCGCTAAGAGCTCGAAGGAACGTACAAAGGGACGCACGCGACTGTCAAAAATCTCAGAGACAAAGAAGGACGTCTCCGTTGGCACGGGTTGCTCGTCTTCGTCTTCCTCGTTCACCGGCACAGAACTGTCCCATTGTTCACTGGCACAGAACACCAGGTGGCAATAGGAACTACATTGTCATACTCAAAAGCGAGTTTCCTCTTAGGGATCAATTTGTTGTGGAAAAGGGTAAGCCTGCTTTGCACTTGTGCAGAATAAGTCGAGCCCGCTGGAATGTACCAACATGTACCAACTAGCCCAGCAACAAGCTATATTTAATCAACCTCCCTGGTATATTGCCTCTGCCATCTGGTTGGAAAAATCTTAAAATGTTGCGGGGGTGCTAACACCTTCTGTAAAGTTGTTTGCGCCTCGTGTCGCACGTGTCTCGCGCAGAAGATGCATTCAGGGGCCACAACTATGAAGCGGTAGGCGGCGTTGTGCTCGCGAGCGTTCGTCACCACCATCGTCATCATGGCAAGAGCGGTCATGCGTGCAGTAAAGCCTGGTGGCAAGCCTGTGAGGCGGGCATAAGAGATGAGCGGGCTTCTTGGCACGTGGCAGTTGGCGCGAACGGTTGCCTCTCGCGATGGGTTTGCGGTGCACGGCACCGCGGGTCGTCTGCTGTGGGCCCACGTGATGAGTCGAGCGCTGGCGACGCCACCTTGTGTTTGTTCTTATGTTATGTTGTTGAGTGTTGTGGAATATTATGTAAGGTTGTAACGTGTGGATCACCCTTGATGTATATTAATTCAGGTGATGATATTTTTGATTTAAAAGTAGTTAAATAAATGTGTGTTGTTTGGTTGGTTCTGACCGTGTTTACTGTGTCCGTGTTCCGAGAGCGTGGTGTTCCATTGAGAGACCCCACAATGTGCACTCAACTTCGAGTTCACTACCTGCATTCTGGTTGAAAGGATGGTGGCTTATACCATAGGTCAGCAAAGTCGCCCTTGAGTCGACTCGCTCAGACTCGGATTGCAGCCATGTGTTTAAGTCCGAGTGAGTCCAGTTAAGAAAAAGTGTTGCAAGTCTTGGTCAAAGTAAATCCGTTGGAAAAAAATTTTGGGGAGCCTGAGTTTGAGTGAGCCCTATGCACAAGGTGATAATTTGTGGGGGAGTCTAAGTAAATGAATGAATGAAGAAAATTTATTTAATGTCAGGCAGTTTTCTTCAAGCGAGGTGGGGGAAAAGGAAATTAGCCCCTGTCTCTTCTCACCCTCTGTCGATGATGATGGTGGTGCCTCAGGTGATCGCTCGAAGTCCTGGGACTTTGGCGACATCTTCGGCTTTCCGGGAGGCCAAAGCTGGTCAGCCAGCTCGTCGCTGGTGAGTGCTGCCTCCTGGTAGCAGCGAAGCTGACACAGCCGATTCGCAGCAGTGATTGCAGCTGCAGCAGGGTCCGGTCTCGTTCCATGCACGGTGGTAGCAGCAAAAATTTGCCTCGGAGTTCGTCCCTGCCTAAGATGCGTTGCGGAGTGATTGGCGGCAGTGACATTAACTTTTCTGGCACACTCCCAAAGCATGTGCCGCAGCGTGCCTTTTTCCCTGCATGCTTTGCTCGTGTCCATCGTGTATAGGCTTGCATAGCACAGGCGTAGGATCGCCGAACTAGGGTACGTATTTGTTTGTAATAATCTCGAAGTTACGACCTGTCTTTTGTTTAATTTGTTGTGTGGTAGTTGTATACATTCAGTCTGTAACATTGTGTAATGTCATTGAATGTGGTCAAACGATCATGCCATGACCATTCCGGTTGTTGTTGTGTTAATGATGTTGTCATCGCCCTGCTCTCGAAGGTGAAGGCAGCCATGAGCTTACCGTATTTACTCGCATAATCCTCGCACTTTTTTTGGCAGAAAACCGATGCAAAGTTGGGGGGTGCGAGAATTACGCGAGGAAAACTTTCCACCAAAACCTAAAAAAAAAAAAAAAACGAAGTGGCCGTAAATCGAGATTCTCACACCTGCAACTGACAGCAAGCTCTGAGAACTACTAATTAAAATTTACCTCAACAATAAAAGCACACGTTCAACACAAGGCAAAATTTATTTGAGACACAGAAAGTGCAAGCAAATAGTCGAGAATTAGAATACCACGTGCAAAGCTTGTGGGCGTTGTGGGCGTTGCGGGCGTGGCAGTAGCGTTCGTTGCTCAACTGGAGCCCTCAAAAGGCAAGCGTAGGACGTCAGTATTGGGCTGATAACTACTTAACAGAATCGTCCGCAGTTCCCTTCTGAAAAAATAAAGTTTACCATCAGTCCCAGTTTTAGGGACACGGCAGGCCCAACGCCTCTTGGTGGCTTTCAGCTGCCGTCACCAGTAGCGAACACAAAACTAGTATGCTCCGAAAGGCCTACCGGCGGCCCTGTTGCCGTTGCTTACATCATGATCGATCACTTTCAACTTGAAAGCAGCCTAGTAGCTTCAGTATCGCCCCATAACGTGGCAAGATTACCGACACAACATACAAAACACGCCACAACGCACACTAGCCACTTTGGCTTGGCTTGGATTGGATTGAATATCCGTGCAGTAATAGTACACTTAATGCTTAAGAGATGGCGCGCGCCATCATCATCAGTGGTTGGAACCATAGAGTTTCTCACAATACTTACTAGAGGGAACTCTGGCGCTAGTGTCTATGGGAGCGGCAACACACAGCGCTTCACCGAGCATGGGAATGATGGGTAGTACACACATTTGTCTAAACTTCGTACTTCTGGCCTGCTTTTGACTCCGTGTGTGTTCGTGTGGCTTGAAGCTGTTTTCTCATGAAACAAAAATCGGCAAATGTTCAGCGATTGCGCTTCACCACCCTATTTTTTAATTACCTTTTCAAATTGGGTCACGAAGTTTAAAAGGATTGAATCTTTCTTTCAAAACAAAATCAAAACACAGCAATAAACGAAGCCGCAAGTACGATTTGCCACCCGCAAGTACGAAGACTAGGCAAATGTGTGTACTACCCATCATTCCCATGGTCGCTGAACGATCGCAACGCCAGAGTGCCCTCTAGTTAATTTTGAGAAACTCTACGGTTTGAACGAGCAGATGACATTATTGTGGCAGTTTTTGGGGGTGCGATAATTACTCGAGGAAAAAGAGAAATCGTATTTTTGTTAGGTGATGTGGGGGGTGCGAGAATTATGCGAATGCGAGGATTACGCGAGTAAATACGGTAATATTTTCTGCTGGCCTATGGCTAATACTCAGTGCAAAATAAAACGGCCTTTTCCCTCTTTTTTCTTTCTTTTCCTTCAGCTATCACTTGGAGGTTCCGAGGGACCCACTTCACCACTTGCCTGAATTTCAGAATGAAGTCATCAGCAGGTGCATTGAAAAGGTTAGACAGTATTGATACTAGGCAACCTTTGGTTGGGAAATAGTTTGCTCTAGAGCAGTCATTCCTCGAGAAATTCAGTTTCTTTAGAAGTTTTGTACTCGACCACCAAAAAATTTGTTTAAATAGCAGTAACATGCAAGAAGTAATTGCAGTTATATACATAGTTTTATCTCCCTCAGGAACTCTTCCCAGGGGAAAAGACTTTGAAGCATGGTGCAGCACACAAGGCAGCATATCAAAATTTATTTTTGCAATGTATGTGCTGCACTGCAGTTTTAATGCCTTTTAGGGCTATTCACATCTCTGTAATTATGTTTGAATCGTTGGCATCGTTCATGTCAAGTTCACATTTTCATGGACAAATATTCACGTGTTTGTGGATCTGCACATTGCTTTCCTCAAAAAGCTGGGAGTGCCACGTAGAAAGCAAGCATCTCACTGCTGTTTATTATTTTTTGTAAGAGAGGGCAGCACATGGTCTGCTCGAAGAAAAATACAGATTTCTTGAATTGCATTTATCAGCGTGGCTGGAAGAGATTATTGCGCCTGTTGACACACTCGCCTAAACTTGGAGCTGCAGCTTGCGGGGGTGCTATCTTCCCCTGTAAAGTCATTTTTACCTCGTGCTGCACTTGTGTTTCACGGTTGGTTGCGTTTAGGCTTAGCAGTTGTCAAGAGGGAGGTGGTATTCCAGTCATTAAAAGCGCATTGGCGCCAGTAGCACTGCTGGCGGCAAGAAGGCTGAGCCGGCACGCACAAAAAAGTGGCGAGGTCTCTTTGACATTGGTGGTGATCGTAGATGGATGTCTTCTGCAGGTAGTTTATGGGGGACAGCAACTGTGGGTCGTTTGCCGTGAGTACCTCGTGGTGAGTCGATCATCGGCGACCCCGAATTCGTGGTACTTTGTGTTTGTTTATGTTGTTTACTTGAGTGTTCTATCGGAATATTGTATAAGGTTGTTTAAAATGTTACTATGACATATTTGATTCAGCTGGTGGTATAGTTATGTGTAAATACACGTGAACAAATGTACACGTTTTGGTTGCTTGACCGCATCAGCTGTCTCCGTGTGCTTCAAGAAAGCGCGATATTTCTTCAGACCCCACCAGCTAAACAGTTAAGGGGACGGAGGGGAGGGAAGGTGTTCGTTTCAGGAAATGACAGTTAAGCGAAATGCAGTTAAGCCTCAGACCGCCACCCTATGTCTCAGCAAGTTTCTTGAACTGGTGCTGCAGTGTAATGTGAACCAGTGCTACGTAATGTAGTTTTCTGCACAGTGCAGAAGACTACTTTTCTTTTCATCATGCGCAACCTTACATAATGCCCTTCGACCTGCACTTTACACCATGCCAGCTCACAAGCGGAATTATTTTTCTTCCTGAAATCATAGCGCCTTTCCAGTTATCAGCTTTCGCCGACACTTTCTCTGGCCACTTCTTCGTTGTACTTCACGTCTTCACTTCACTTTATTACCTTAAAGACCCCCGTGAGGGGCTATTACATAAGAGGTGGGTTAACAAATGGAGGTTACAGAGAGTGATCTTCTGACAAACAGTATGTATTTATGTTTTGCACAAACGTTGATGAACACGTGATTTCTGCAATGTCACGGGGAAGGCTATTCCAGTCCACTGCTGTGCGAAGAAAAAATGAGGCAGCAAAAGTAGTAGTGCGTGCGCACACGCGTGCGATTGAATAAGGATGGGTTGTGCGGTGAGATATGTGCGTTGGTGGGATGATGTAAGGTGCTTGATTGAGGGAACTGTGAAAAAACTTGTGAATCAAACAGAGGCTGGCGATGCGGCGACGCACAGAAAGATTAGCAACATCAAAGTCACGTTTTAGGGATGATATGCTTATGTCGTATGAGTATGAAGAGTGAATGAACCTAGTGGCACGATTGTACGCAGCTGAAGTGGATGCTGAAGGATGAGATGGCCTCGGCAGCCCTCAACAGCTTCCCGCTGACAGCGGAGGCATTGCACATGGTGGCTGAGCATGTCCGCAGCACTGCGGAGGCACGCACCACCACACGTTTGCACGCCACTACTGGTGCCCCCGGGTGTCAGGTTCAGAAAGTACCACTGCAGTTTGTGTTTGGGCCGGAGCAGAGTTTCGGCAAGTTCCTGCAGGTCAGTTGGAGTGTTACACGATTATCTTCATGTTGTGCAATAGAAGAGGGGGTTGACTTTCTTTTCATTTATTTATTTATATTAGGCAAAGGTTTTAGAAGTCTTATTTTAGACTCAAACCTTGATTTAACATACCCCAATATAATGAATAATTGGCTATAATAAAGTAAATGAAGAATAGCTCTGTCATAGATAGAGCACTGCAAGTATATGTTTATAACGAATTTCTGAACATAAAGAAGTACAGTCGAGCCCACATATAATGGCCACACTTAAAACGAACTTTCGCTTAAAATGAACAATATCCGCGCGATCGTGAAAATATACAATGGTTCAATGGCACAAAATTGCTCCTACAACGAATGTCTCCGAGCGCCGCTGATCGGTTACAGTGAACGGAGTCAGTGGTCTGCCGACATCTCGGGAGACCAATTTCGACCACCGATTAGGCATCAACGAAGGGCCCATACATTCTTATTTTTAAATGCTGACCCTGCCTCCGAGCCCCTCCAGTTGCTGCTCTCCCCGACCGCTTTTGTTACGCACCCCTCCGTTCTTTGTCTCCCCACTACTCTGAGCACCCCGCATCGCCAGACGAGGCCCGTGTTTTCACACTGCCCCCCATCTTTCGAAGACTGGTTGGCCATCTACCCTGTTTTTGATCGCTGGTACTGTCGTTGGCGTCACCAGCCTGGAGTGACCAGACCATTTGGCAACATCGTCGGCTACCGACTGTATCCGATAGTCTGTGTCTAGTGCACCCGCTTACGCTACCCCACCGACTCTGATAATTTGGGATTCGTTTCGTGTTTAGGACTTGTTCTCGCTCACTTCGCACTCGGCTCAGCACGCCTTCCGCGCACGTGCAGGAAGCACGAAAACGGCGGTTAATTTGCGCGGAACGAATCGCGAAATATCGAAGTTCGTGAGGCAACGCGAAACCGCCGGCGCAACGCAACGATTTTTTGACCACGGCCGCCTATTCTACGAACACCGTTGCGCGCACCGATTCAGGCGGCCATGCACTCTTTACAAGTTTTTCTGCGTGCGAGTTTCGCAGACCTTTAAAGCAAGCTACCCAACCTGCCTCCTTTCCGTGTGTTTTGGTTTTCAAGGTCGCCCTCCGGCCGCATCCTCCCTTCTCTTTATCGCAACTCCTTGCCCTTCTCTCGCAAGTCTGCTCACCTCTCTTGATCACAACCCCTTCGCCCGTCTCCACCGCTCCGCGACGCCCGCCATGCCAGAGATGTTCCACGCGTTCTGGCATGTGTGTCGCGTGTGCGCTTCTTGCTTGCTCTTGGTGTGCGTGTGTGGTCATGATGGCCGATGGGAAGACTAGCACGCTTTTTGTGCCGCTCAACAAAACGTTGAAAGTGTGACCGTTTGGCTTGAGCGGAATCAGCGTGGTAGGTGCCGCGTTGTGGAGCGCTTGCTGATAGCTGTTGACCACCTGGCAGCCAACTTGCTGCTTCGGGAATCTCTGTGTTCAGCTGTGGAGATGGTGAATATTTCGTGGGCGGCGGTGGGAAATACATGCGCACTAAACTTTTCGCAAATCTGACTTCGTCAACGTCGAGCCCGATGCCGAGCCATAAGCTTCCGAACTGCGGCGACGATTAGTGGCAGCGCATCGTCGACTCCAACCTGGAAGAGCGAGTAGGACATCTGTTGCGATGGTTTAGTTACGGCCAATGATGATGCCGACACTGCGGAACCGTGCACGGATTGAGGCATTGTGAATGAAGTACGTGGCGAGAGCAATTTGGAGGAATCAGAAACTTTGTAGCCAGTGCCTCATGCAGCTTATGCCACGGGCCTCAACGAATGAGCACTCGCCGTTTTAAATGAACTCGAGACTGCCCTTATCCCTTCTGTTCTTCGAAACATGTGCATCACAGGCTTTTTGGGGCAAAAAGTGTGTGTTTTCAGTCGCAACTTTTTTTAAAAGCTGTGTTTCATTTACTACGAACTTCGGAATACAGTGAACGGATACCGCGTCACGCTCAGGTTCGTTATAAGCGGGCTCGACTGTACTTCCATGGCAGCTGTGACTTTGTGATAATGATGTTCGTGTGTATATCATAGTTTACAAAATGAAAACCTTGTAACGGCGAGTGTACAGAAATCTGGGTGTATCAAATGTAGCCCTCGAAAGTGTGTCAGCCACACACATACCGTATTTACACGATTGTAAGACGACTCGAATGTAAGACGACCCCCCTAAAATCATAGTTTACAAAATGAAAACCTTGTAACGGCGAGTGTACAGAAATCTGGGTGTATCAAATGTAGCCCTCGAAAGTGTGTCAGCCACACACATACCGTATTTACACGATTGTAAGACGACTCGAATGTAAGACGACCCCCCTAAAATCGCATCTCAAAAAAAAAAAAAAAAAAAAAAAAAAAAAGAACGTGCGCATTTTACACAAGGGAAATTTATTCACGTGGTTGCGGAGGATTATTCATCGTCGCTGGAGTCGTCCTCGCTGGTGCTGCTGCCGTCATTGCTGCTGCAGTCCCACAGCACGTCGTCGTCAAGTGTGAGTAGGCCGCAAGCTTCGCCTCTAGTTCCGAAAAGCGGCCAGACTTCAGCCCGCAAAAGCCACGGCGCTTGGAGTCGCACGAGAAAATTTCCTCGCGCTGAAGCCGCCACTTCCGCACCACACATTCACCGATTCCGAACTTCCGTCCTGCTGCACAGTTGTTGATTTCCTCCGCATGAAGAATAGCAGCCCGCTTAAACGCTGGCGTAAACGAGCGCCGAGTGTTCTTCGAGCCTACGGCACTCATGTCAGACAGAAGTGACTCGAGAGAGCCGGTCGTGGACACAAGCGACAGGAGCACGCGGCGACGCGCCCGCTTAGAAAATTGTATCACAAAGAGGAGCTCTTCCGTCAACTACCAATACCCCCCTACGGCGGCTCTTCCATCGATTACCGGTGCTCCCTCAAGAGCCGCGCGCTCGTCATAAAGGCACTCGTAATGCGCGCAGTAGATGCTAAAAAAAGAAAAGCTTTTGTACAAGCACGCGGAAAACTATGCGCTTTGGGTTGAGCGGGAAACTATTCGAGATGACAATACATGGTTCGATTTCGATTCTAAGGTACATGGTTCGATTTCGATTCTAAGACGACCCCCCAACATTGGATTGTCAAATTTGAAAAAAAGGGTCGTCTTACAATCGTGTAAATACGGTATTTGTATGCATCATTCTCCAAAATGTGATGCTCTTTCGACTGTGGGCTTCTCAGCGATCAACCACTTCTGATTCTGCATTTCTTATTTAGGCCACTTGTCATGTCATGTTGCCTATTTATTTGTTGTTTTTTCATCGTTGCATTTTATTCTATGCATGATTATCATTGTTGCCTGTAGCAGCGGAGTTGTTGTGCTGCTAAGCATGTGGGGGAAGGTCCCATTCTTGGCATGGAGGACTGAGAAAGTTAGGGGGGCTCATTGTGCAATGCTGTAGAAATAAATCAACGAATAAAGAAAAATGGTAGGTTAGACACGCTCCATGCTTCACTTGCCCCCATTTTTCCAATTTTGGAATTGCCTTTCAATGAAACAATTTTTTGAAAGATTAAAGCACAGTTTGCCATCGTACTACTGTGCCATTTGTCTCTCTTCTGTACTCTGTGATCCAGGAATTCAAGCACCTCACACTGCCAGGCTACCAGCTAGAGCAAGTGGATAAAGATCACTACTGCGTTGTTTTAGACGACAAAGATTCCAAGGTGGTGCGGAGGCCCTTTGGGTCGCTGGTGCCTCCCCTTGGGGTGAGTCACACACCTTTCTTAATGGTTAACGAGCTTTGCTTCCTTTTCCTCAAAAAAGAAAAATTACTCTTAATTACATTTAAATGTGCTCATGTAGCAAGAATTGCATGCACAGCTATGGACCATTTATGGACCTTGTTATGAAACTGCATCAGAAAGGTCATCATCTCAGACTCTGATATTGCGAAGTTATGGTGAAATAAAAAATTTTCTCTATGTAATGTTATCTTTGTAGACTCCGTTAAATGTTATAGTGATCAGGTATCATGTTGATTTAGTGTCAAATCGATTAGATTTCATGTTGTGAGGTTTCATAGTGAGGAGGTATTATAGTTATGAGGTGTCATAGGGACGAGGTGTAAGGTGATGAGGTTTCATGTAATGAGTAGTCATAGTGGTGAGGATTCGTGTGAGAAGTTTTTATGGTGGTGAGGTCTCATTGTGATGAGGTATAAGAGATGAGGTGTAGGGATAGGGTTAAAGTGATTAGCTTTTATGTAGCGAGGTGTTGTAGCGGTGAGATGTAACAGTGATGAAGTCTCATAGTGGTGATTTTTCATAGTTATGAGAGTGTAAATGTTTCAGGGACATAAAAAAAGACATGGTCATCTAATTTAAACTTTTTTTTTGCTTTTGGTATAGGTGTGCTCTTTATGCATTATAGTGTGCCTGATTGGATGCAATAATGTGTGGGACTGTGTGGAAATGAGGCAGAGGGATATGCTTGCATACGTGAAATGCTAACTGCTTATCTTGGTGAGAATAAGGACGCACGTATGCAAAGTGACCCTACGAAGAAACGAAAGTCTAACATAGATGAAGGAATGTATGTTGTGCATGCTTTTTGTATGAAGTAGTATTTTCGTTTCGACTTTACTCTATCAAACTTATTTTGATTTGTCAGCGGTCTCCTCTCACATCTTTTCAAAAGTTGTATTACACAGTGGAACTTATATATATAACAAGCTTGAAAGTGCTGTGAAAGGTGGCATTGTATAAGTAGTTCATTTTTTTATGGACTCACCTTTAAAGGGCCAGTAAAAAACCTGAAATCCAAAAATGGTAATGCAAAGAAATATACGTACTTCTGCTTTGTGAACATGCGGCCGCCAGAATTTCGCAAACGCGTTCTATAACATGGAAGTTACAGGGGATAAAACATCTGTTTCAGCTGGTTGCAAATTTCCGTGTGTATCTCGCCACCCTTCACCACCGTATAAAGAAAGAAGGTGTAGTTCATTGTCGTGACTTCGTCCACTTTGGCAACGTGACACTAAGTCAGCAGTACGTCATCGGCGCTCAGCCAACAGCCGAGCAGGGCACCCCCGGCATGAGCACATGTCATAGCGGCGCAGGGAGAAAACACATTTCGAGGAGCACCCCTCCCCTTGTGATAAAGTAGCAAGACGGTTCTTTATCTCTGAGGCTTTTAGTATTAGAGCCTGGTAGTCTCAGGCTCTACAAAATGGCAGAGGGCAGCACGAGAAAGTGAATATGTGGACTGCATGGCCAAAACTACCGGAGAGCCAAGGCACAATTTCGTGTGGTAAAGGACCAATCGATGATCTCAGTGGTGCATCAACTTGCCTGTGGGAAAGTTTGCGTCACTGTGCACATGAGGGGAATCGGTTAGAAGAAAAGAGGCGCAGGAATTGTTCTCCGAAATGAAGGGCCGGTGTGGTGCTCAGTGAAGTAATATTTGAAAATTGTGATCCCCGCAGTTTACTGTACTAATTGGCAATTGGCAAGCTTGTTTCGGGGGGGGGGGGGGCGGTAAAAAAATGTCAGAGCTTGTTTACTGGCGCTTTTATTAAAATAATGCACCCATTGACCAAGCGTTTTTCTTTTGCACATTTTTCTTAAGATTTAACAGCTCTTTTGGTAACAGGTTAAGCCTGTTCACATCGTGAAGTAATGCATGCTGCGTGTGTTGTAGCGGAATAGCATGGAGGCAAAAACTTTCTTTAAACGACGATGACAGAGAAGTCAAGACGTCTTTTCTAGTACAAACACATCATCAAGACCCAGTTTACTCTGTAGTATGTATACCACTGCTTTCTAGAGGGAAAGGGGAAGTAAAAAAAGACATGCAGAGAAACATAAGTATACATATAGTCAGAAGTTTTCTCTGCACCCTGCACATGCAACAGTTTTTGAGCAACTGAGGTAGATAACACTGTCGGTCTCTCCGGTGTTCTGTCTTAATTCCACGGGTAGCCGTGTAGGTTGTAAAGGCGCGCCGACGTCAGGGACGCTGTCCGCCTTTTCTGGACCACTCGTCTCCTTTGAAAGGGGCCGCTGCTGTTGCATCCCGAAAACGAGTCCTGTTGGGGGGTTAAATCATACTTTATGTATGTTCATACATTCGTTTCTATGTGCGGTGTATGCATCTGCTCTATATACGCGAGCAAAATTGAAACATTTTAGGGGTTGGCTCTCCCTGGCTACATTCCTGCTGTATAACGTAGGTGCACGTTGTGCGTTCTTTGAGCCTGTTTCTCTGGGGACTATGCACAGGTCCAGCGAGTAGCCTGTTCTTTCAACACAGGGATGACAAGCATTTTGCAAGCTATGTGCACTCTATGTTTTTGCAATACTGTGGCACTGCTGCAGATGTGGCATGCTTCGGTTGCCGCCTAATGAAACATGCAACATATGCTCACTACCACTGCATCGATGTTTCTCGGTGTCCATGCCTCTCAGCACGAGTGATCTAGTACATGCATTTCTACAAAGTGACATGCACTTTAAAGCCGTTTCGCATGACGTGGTGGCGAACTTGCGAATGGCAGCATGATGTGCTTGTATTGCTGTCTATCTGTGTTGTTTACGCTGCACACATAGCCGAGCAGACAGCTGCAGATGACTGCATGGTTGTCAGCGATGTCATGATTCATCAGCGACGGCTGCCTCGCCTGCACTCTTGTCTGGCGCTTGTTTATGAAGAAATCACCACGGTCATGCTGAAGTCATAACGGCTGATGTACCGGTCATTGCTGTTACCGAAAAAAAAAAAAAGAGAGAGAGAGACTGAATACCTTTCGTAGCACATTGTGATACTAATGAGTTGAGGAGCACTGTGAACTCTTATGAGACTGAAAGGTATTGTGGTTATCGCTTGTTTTATTAACAACTTTTTGTGTTTCAAGGCATCGTATTGTTCATCACTGGCAGCCATAGCTGCAATGACTGTAGCAAAAAAAGACTTCAGTGTGAAAGCTGATTGCAGGACTTCATGCTGCCTCCTATTTTTCTTTTAGTTTTTTTTTTCTCACTGCCGTTCTGCCACTTACAAAACAACTACAAGCTCGCAGCTTCTGAAGTCCGCATGTGATGCTCACCGGTCCAGGATGTTTTTGTCGTAAGTAAACTGCAGCGTGGCTTGTGCGAGTGGTTGACTCTCTTGTGCATTAGAAGGCTTGTTTTAACATTTTTTTGGTTTCGTATGCAGCATATTTTTACCATGACAGCGTCCGAAGTGTTAGTTGTAAAAGTAGGAGGCTTTGAAAAATATTCGCAATACATGGATGCAGTTTCGAAGGGCAACATAAAAAAAATTGTAAGTGCACCGAAATATGGTCATAACCGACAAATCATTATATCTGGGATTGTTATATGTGGTTTTCACTCTATATATGTGGTCATAATACAGGGGAACCTCAGTTTAATGAACATGCTTATGATAAATTGTGAGAGAAAACAAATTGAATAAAATTGTTAATCTTCTTCACTCAAACTTCAATATAACGAACACAGATATAACAAAGTTACTGTAGAACAATCTTGTAAATAATACAATGTTGTGAATATACATTTATAATAAACTTTTGAATATGATGAATTTTTTGGTGGAATACGTGACTGTTACTATGAGATATGAGTGTATATCACTATTTCTCAGAAGTACGCTTATGACTTACTTTGGATGTAACAAAGGTGTTTTCACTTGGGATGGCTTTTCATTGTAACCTGGTGTGACCGTGTTCAACAATTGTCCTGGTTCTCAGAAAATTGTTCAACTTTAGGGCCGGAATCGCTCTCTTTGTCTGAAATTGGGAAAGGGGGTAAGTATTGGGTAAGGGGGATGTGTCGCGGCAGGCAAGATGCAGCTGAACCAAGACCGAAGCGTGAAGGGTTGGTGCAACAATGTCGTGCAGCTGAGAAGCAAGGCACTGGAAATGACAACAGCGTTGCCTCACGAAAAGGCAGGTGCTGACGCCGCCGAAACGAGGGGGTCGCTCCAGAAGTCCATCGGCCCGGACGCCAAAGTGAGTGGACCTGCCCGAGAAGACCTTCGTCCCGCATGTCGTGTCAGTAGCGTAGCCATTACGGCTTGCTTGTGTTCGGTTCTTGTGGCATGCTCGTTGCATCGTGGCGCTCAGGGGGCAGGGGTGAAGAAATTAATGTGGACCACACGAGGTATGTGTACTTAGGCCACTTATTGACAGCAGAGCCTATCCATGAAAAAACAGTTTAACAAATCTAACGAGAAGCCTGTGCGCATTCAGCAGGCATTGCCAAATCATGATAGGTGATCTGTCTTGACAGCAAGTTTCTTTGGTGTCAAAACAAACACAATGTGTTTCCTATGAACTAGGTACTTCTTTCTGGGATATTGAAAACTATACCCTAAATTGGGAGATGATTTAGACTCCAACCAAAAGCTTTGAAGAAACCCGACGTTTCAAAACCGACTTGGTTCTTTCCTCAGGGGTGACTGCGGAGACTACACAATGGTGGCGTCTTCAAAGCACTCGCGGGGCGTATAATGAACCCCCTTTCTCTCTCTCGTTTTGCCGTGGAGCGCAGTCCATGTGTATACACTGGAAGAAGGGTGGAACCCTTCCCCCAGTGTACACACATGGACTGCGCTCCACAGCAAAACGAGAAAGATAGGGGGGGTCATTATCCGCCCCACGAGTGCTTTGAAGACGCCGCTGCTACGTAGTCTCCGCAGTCACCCCTGAGAAAAAAACCAAGGTTTCGAAAACGTCAGGTTTCTTCAAATCTATTGGTTGGAGTCTAAATCATCTCCCACTTTCTTACCCGACCAGACAGACTTCTGTCGAATGTTTACCTTGAAGTTATACCCTAAATAAAGGAGTCAGCCATATACCTCTGTATTACTTTTCACATTAAAGTTCTACCTAGTTGAACTTATCATGAACATGAAATAGGAACCACAAAATGTGCCATATTTTTTATAAAATCCTGATTTAAGCAATTACCTATGCTGCTAACTTTTGCGACATTCTTCTTCAATCTCTGACAATATTGTTGAGTGGCTAAGGAAACACATCCGCATAGAATGCCTTAAATTTGCTCATGAAGAAAGTGTGAGAATGGTAAATTTTTAAAACTGGACCGTTGGAGACTGTAGTTTAACAAAGCCGGTAAAACTGTGGCGTGCAACGAAAAAATTTCTTATTCGGCTTGCCGGAAGCAACCAAAACGAATTTTTCTTTAATATAAATGCGACTGGTCGCTCTGCTGAAAAGGCAGGTTATGGGACTTTATGTGTGAAAAGTTGACTACAGAGTGCTTGTTACAGTCTGTGACATGTTCATCTAACACAGACATTTATTTTCTGGGAGGTGATGACGGAAAGGTGCCAATGTGCTGGTCCTGCTGGTTTGTGGAAATTTTGCTTATATTTGCTGTGGTTCGTGCATGCGGCCGGTGTGACAGATGTGAATGTGTATGGTTGTGGACCTGTGAGCAGTTGTTTTTCGCAGTGCAAGTGCTGGGTACCCGGTACCCGCAATGAGTACTAAGTGTTGCTCAGTACCTTCACTGAGTACTAAGTGATGTTTAGTACCCGCACCGAGTATTAAGTCATGTTGGCTGTTTATGTTCTTGCAAAACAATATCGGAGAATGTCTGTGGCAGGAATTTGCTTTGTTGTAGTTGTTGTTATTTCCTGCATCTGCTTGCTTTGGCCTGTGAATTATGAATATGTTCATATGCAACAATCGTTTGTGGGGTGACAATTTTGCTTAATTCTTGTCATGCTTGGATCACTGTTCTTCAGAAACCTGAGTTGCTCACGACTGTGTGTATGCTAATGCTTGATTTGGTTATGGTTTGCCTCTTGTGCTGGAATGCCAGTCATTCGTGTTGTACCGCTCCGAAATGCATTGCAGGCTGCTCGATTGTCAGAACCTCTCCTGTATGTATTGTGGTGGCCTGCTTTTGTGTTGGTGGTGCTAATAGGATGACGGGACATAGTTAGTGATGTGATTATCATCACTTGCCCTAGAAATTTTCTTTCACTTTCCTGTTAAGTGATGTCAACTATTTTTTGCAAAAATGGTTGTTGAAAAACGGTGCACTTCAAACAATGAACATTTTCTCTTGTTGAGGCAGGACATTATTTGATCAGTGTTCTTTGTACTACAAGTTCATTTTTCTTGGCATAGCATATTTTGAATCGTTAAACTGCCATAGTTAATGAACCTTTGTATTTATTGGAGATCTCTCATTTAGGATCTATGTGGACTTAGGAACTGGTTGTTGTTGGTATTTCTTAATAATGAAAAAACAGAATTTGCCACTTTATTATTTTACCTAATTACTTTTACTATTTTACTTTACTTTTTCTCTTTTACTCTTTTTTATTTTTACGAAATGTCTAGGAAAATTGTGGGCTAGTGGACTGTTCTATTGAGGTGGCTTTCAATAAAGTTTTAATGAGTCACAGAAGCATGACTTGAAGCATGATCAATAAACATCCCTGATTTATGCAGTACTGATAAGTAGCATACCAACTCTCATGTAAATTTGTCCACAGATAAATTTGAAATTGTCTTGTAACAGTTTTTGTTCATGGCATGGCTAATCAATGCGTTGCATCAATTGCTCAGTACTTTCCTAGACATCACCTGTATGGTTCGGATAAACAAGATGAGCACATTAAATGCAGCAAGTTCGAGCTGTAAGCTTCATTAATGTTACCGTTTTTTAATGACCTTGAATTTTTTTATAGCTACTTCTATTACACTACTGATTATTTTTGCAAATTTTTTCTGAAAATTCAGAATGAAGGTTATACTGTGTAAAATGCCACTACTTTATGCATTCGCATGCAAGGTTGCTGCAGCTTTTAATGTTTATAAATTGGAACTTGCTGCGCCAATGTCTGCAAATCAATGTATGATCGGCTGTAACAGTGTTTTTTTTTTTTTTCATTTAAAGATGTGCTTATGCGAATAATCACAGTGTGCTGATGTGGAAGCAGTAGAGACACGAGTGCACAGTTAGGGTAGTATGAGTTACATATTCTGTAAAGTATCACTGCGAAGAAATACTGGGTAATTCTGTAATGTCTTATAACTTATAAAATGGTAAATATATTAGTCCTGAGTACTGCTATAAGTGATAATTTGTGATACCATCTTACTGTGACATTCTAGATTCTGGCAGCACTCGAACAGTGCAAAATAGTTCCTTCATATGACCAAAAAACATGGTGTTGCTACTGAAAGTAAGCGAAATTGTCAGTAATGCATTTTTTGTCGAGATTTTCTTAGAAGGGAGCCAGGGTACATGACACTGTGCAATAATTTGTGACATATCAATGACGCTATGAATGCTGAAGTTTAACCGAGAAATGAAAAAAGGGGGGGGGGGGGGAATGTTTAGCTCTTTTTTTTTTTTTGGTGTGCTATTTTGTCTCACATTTGAAGAGCCTCAAGAAGGTAATTTGCTGGTATAGGCTGCCTTCATGTTTTTCCATTATTCTCTTTCACTTTCTTACACCATTGAGGTGAAATTCACTGAACTTGTTCATTGGCAGCCACACAACTATTCTTGAAGCTAGAGGCACCGTTAATTCATTTCCATTTTGTTTTGCGCTTGTTGCAGCAATGGAATATATCTCCTATATGTTTAAAAAAAAACAAATGCAGTTATCAGATGAAGATGAGTCTGGTGACGGAGGGGTGCCACAGACGTCTTTCCGGGCGTGGCGACGTCAGACTGGAAAAAGCGCACGAACAAAGAGCGCTGAACGTCGCCTGGAACGTGCGTCATCACTGCCGCTGGACTCTTTGGTGACGTCAGAGGAGCCAAAGCCAGAAGTTCGGGTTCCAGGGGCATCGTGTCCGTTGGAGTTGCTCGACCTGAGACGGAAGCTTCAGGAGGAAGCCGGAGCTCCCGAAGCCAACAGTGCCACAGCCGATCACGGTGCCATTCTGTCATCAGAGACCATTGTCCAGGAGCAAAAGGCAGCTGAGAACCAGGTACTTGCTTAAGTAGATTGAACTGTCCTGTTGATGTCATTGTTGTGTAGAGGGAGAGAGAAAGAAAAGACAGGCAGATTAACATGACTGTACATGGTTGGGTACCCTGCACGCCTGAAGAAAAATATGCCCAGACCTATTTATAACCAATTTGCATATTGCAAGAAATTAAGTTCATTATATCCAAAAATTTCTTGTAAAGTTATTCCTAACACGCTATCGATTGCAAGACTATTTTTGATTTACTTCATTCTAACTAAAATTTTGTTATACACTCCAAGCTAGTTATAACAAAGTTCAAGGGGAGTCTCAATTATTTCGTTATATTGATTATAACAGTTTGTGGCGATGTATGCCCATACGGGTAGACACCTATAAACATGCAAAAAAGGAAACTGCCTCGCGGCCCGATGTACCGCTACGCGATCACGCGTGCGACGGAAAATACACAAAGTTGAATCTCAGCAATTCGAACACGCTTCATTCGAACTTCCTGTTAATTCAAACCCACGCTGTAGTCCCGGAAAAGCTATGTGTATTCCTATGAGTGAAAACGCCCTGTAATTCGGACGCGCAAGCACTTGCGGGTAATTCGAACATACAGCCCTCTGAAAATGCTCTCAGCACCATACCTAATCCTGCGGCGGCACCTCTCCACACTGCGTGCGAAGAAAAAAAAGAAGAAAAGAAAAAACTGTGGCGGATTGTTTCCTGTGCCACACCTCTCCCTTTTCCGTCTTTGCACGTAGAGACCCTTCTCCTTTCAAGGCCGCACGCGGAGAGAGAGGAAAAAAAAAGGGAATCTGTCGCAGAGTCCTCTTTTCTAGGTGCAGAGGGTAGCAGCGGAGATGCAGTCGTTGCCGTCGTCTTTAGAGAGTGTTGGCGCTGGATTCAGCCACGCCCTACTATGCTTTGCGAACTACGTGCGAAATTGACTGACTCGCTGCAAGGCAAAGTTGTGCAGACGCGCATGACCGATGGCTTCAATTAAAGACGGATGTCCTCTGATGTGTGAATAAATGTAAGTCTTCTGAAGCTTCCCCATCGTGTGTTCTTAAGTGAGAGGAAAATTGCTTTGCACCGCGGTGCCTCTTCTCGGTCATGTGACCCGCTGAGCGTTTCCTCAATCCTCTCCGCTGGCTGTGGGAGGAGAACGGCTCTCTCAGCCACGCGTGGCGTGGCTGTAAGGTCAGCGGGGAAGTTTTGAAAGAGCCGCGCCGAACGAGCGTCAAACTCCGCTGAAAACGATATACTTAACACACAATAGTCTTTTTTTATAAACTATTTGATAGACTAATTTAGCTCGTTATATTCATTTACTGGTCAGTTTTACTTCGTTACAACAAGGTTTAAAATTTATGGTTCTTAATGGAGCTTTCAAGGGGAATTTAATTTACTTCATTATATCCTCCATTTCGTTATATCCCATTACATTATAACAAGGTTCAAGTGTATTCATCTTTGTTAATTGAGGTTTGAGCATAGTTCCTGAAAAAAAAAAAAAACAGAGATAGGAGAAAAGATTACAAACACATAAATATCAAACGGTGTTGACTTTCTGGTTGATCACAAGTAGGCTTTTCCATTTGAAGAAGCGCAGCATTGCGGGATCACACATCAGAGATGTCCAAGGCTATAGTTTCAGAATCATTTCTTCTGTGAAATGCTTGTCGTAAAAGTGCCTCAAGTGTCTGAAGTTCAAGCTCTTTGTTAACGTGTGCTGAACAGCTGCCAGTAGGTGCTTTAGCTCAATCGATGAATCAAACAGTGAATCAGTGGAGTGCTAAACTTCAAAAGCCCAAAAATATCTGAACTGGCATTATAATGGGACTTCCTGGCAGCCAGTGTATTACTATATAATAAATATATACAGCAAATCATGCACAGGTCAGCTGATAGCATATAACATTCAGTCAAAGCTGCTTAATATGTGCCTGCTTAAATGTAATCATGAATAAAACACAATTGTTACTAATCTCCAAGCGAGTCTCACAGAGGCTGACGTGTTCTTTGACTGCTTTAAAAAGGTCTGCAGCGCTTTTCCAAGTAGCCATGGAATGGATTCACTAAAGGAGCTTGTTACCTCACGCATTCCCCGCTCCAAAAATTTTTTTAATTCATCTGGTATGAGCGGAGTCACAAAGATTTGTCGCATGCTGTAATTGCTTCTCTCTTCTATCGACCCACTGAAAGCGCTGGAAGCTAAATAGGGAGGGATGGCATAGGGTAAGAATTATGTCATGCACTCCTTGTCACCTCGAGCATGTTTTCTTTTTTTTTCTTCGAATGTGCGGATTTTCAGTGCAACCATTTGGGCACGCGTGTCCAAGTCGTGGCTTCGCGCGGCGGCCCCGGTAAAGACTGAGTGCGCCATGCTCGAAGCAGCCAAGGGCTGATACTTGGCCTGGGACACATTGATTTTTGAGCTTTAGCATCATCTGTCAAGAAAGACAAAGTGACCTTGAACTGACCTTCAGAATTTATTGTGAATTTTTGGCATGCTACGCTATAGTATCTGGCTCACGTGTTCTCAGGAGCCATGATTACCATGCGGGAGTGCTTTCTGACCATGTTCAAAAAGTAATACAGGGCCCCTTAATGCGTGCTATTGTTTAGTGCATGTGTCGTTCCCAGCAGGTACATATGCACGAGGTTTCGCTGTATGAAATTCCATTTTCAATTTCTAATAGTCGTATATACCAAAGGAAGGTACAGGGCACCATACAGCTGTTTTGAATACCGGTGCTGTGCCGTGCCTGTGCTCTCTTAAAGGGGCCCTGCAACACTTTCTGAGCATGGCCAGAAAATGCTGCCGATTGGTAGTAGAGGCTCCCGAGAACACACAAGTCAAATATATGTAGCACAGCCCGCGACCTGCAACTCACAATAAATGATCGAAGTCAGCTAAAAATTGCTTTCTGTTCTCTCAACAAATAACGGAGGAAGCTTAAAAATCACTCGTAGAAGGCATTTTATCAGCCATTGGCTGATTTAAACATGGATCACTGCGGTTGGTCGAGACTTGTCCAGGTGCGCGCACGGGATCTTACTAAAAAAGCCACGTATGCAAAGAAAAGTAAAAGAAAAAAAGTGATTAAGATCACGAGGTGTATGTGACTTATTTATTATTATTTTTTTCCCATGCCATCCCCTCCTGTTTAGCTTCCTGCGCATTTGTAGGCTACATTACTAAGCTTTTGTCGAGACAATAGAAGAGAGAATGCAATTACAGCTGCAACATATCTTTGTAAATCCGCTTCTACTGCACAGATTCTTAAAATTCTTGCGGTGTTGAATTTGTGAGGTAATAAGCTCTTTTAGTGAATCTATTCTATGCTCACTTGAAAAAGTACCCTTCAAACAGACCACTGCTTTGCGGCGTATATTTACACCTCTTTCAAGAGACTGCACTGTGTTGCCGGTGCACCATGCAGCATGGCACCTAAAATCGTGAGGAGTGTTTCAACTAATTCTGGTAGCCAGTAGGGCTTTCGTGATTGCATCTACTCTTGAGTGAGGGAAAGCCAACCATCTTTTGTTTCTTTGCCTTATTGAAAAAGAAGTTGTGGTGATTGATCTTCATTACTTGCATTTCAACAGGAGCCAGCCGAAGCTCCCGTAGAGCTCGCGGAAGAGAGTGGCTCCTCGGAACAGCAAGATGGAGGATTCCGAGACCGCACCGACAGCTTAGCCTCATCCCTGGGCCATGGCATGGCATTCCGACCACCGCAACACCTACTGGAGTCAACGCGGTCCACGCCGAATGCACTGAGTGAAGTTGGCGGACAGATCAGCAACACCGAGGATGGTGCGAATGATGGCGGTTGATGGCTGCATTTATTGAATGCTGTACCGTTAATGAGCTTGTTTTGCAGGAATTCTAGTGTCGATGTTGGTGTTGTTAGTTGTTATAAAAAAAAATCATCGTCGTTTGTTCACAAAAAAATAAGATTGGATGCAAGTGATGAAGAAGTTTTGGGTCTGAGCTCAAATCAAATTTGGTCGCGATGTTGTCAATTCAGACTTTATTTGGAAGCCTCACTGCAATGCCAACAGTGATATACACCTGGTGTGTCTAAGTAGTACTCGGTATTGCATTTAAAAATGCTTATTTGTGGCAGGTAGTTGATTAGAAAGGACAAAAATATAGCATGAGAACTGAACATACTCTATCTCAAAGAACAGGAAGTTAAGCTAGAAATCTGTAGGGCTTTTTCTTCTGAAAAAAGATATTTAATTCAGACAGGCAAGGTATTAGGCATCATTAAAAGTGGCACACAGGTTGTGTCACCTTTCTGTTATAAAGGGGATGCTCATAGCATCCATCCACTTTGTAAAAAGGATAGGATATTTGGGGAGTATTTGTGACTCACAACTATAATCATCGTCTAGCTTGCTCAAACTTTCTTTCTTGAAAAGCCAGCTCTTCCCGCTTTCCAGTCAAGAATGCTGTCGCACCCTTCGTGACCAGGAAGTGCCAAGACCGTGGTGATGACGCTGGAAAAGCACGCAAGGTCAATGAAAGTTATAGTTGTGGGGCAGAAATACGGCCCCTATACTTGACGTTTTCTCAGAGTGCATTCATTGTGCCATCTTTTGCACTGCTCGGAAACTATATTGGCTGTGACATGGCAAGCATCATTAGGGGAAGCCAGGTTCCAGGAGACACGGGAGCTACCTAATCTGTGCAGATAGTGTGTGTTTCTTATCGGTTGACATATGCAGGCTACGATGGTGACAGCAGCGAATCGGACAGTGACCGCGATTGGATGAACGCGTTGGAGACCCAGCGTTCCCACTTGCCTCCCTTCTGGATGATTCTCTGCCCATTCCTCGACCATGTCGACATCTTTTTCCACGTTCGGTGAGTCTGCTAGTACGTCTGGTTGGCCTCATTAATATCATTCTTCGCCTTGTCGGCCTCATTAGCTTGCTATTCTACAGTGCTTAGTCACTGATGGCGTAGACATTTTTAAAAGAGGCGCTAGGAGGAATGAGAAAGTTAACCCATTATAACAAAACTACAGTCGCCGACCGATTTTCCGGACTCCAAAAATTCGGACTTGTTGGATATTCCGGACTTCATAAATGCACCGTCAGGGACTCCATAGAGCTAATGCATTGTTTCGACCGATTTTTCGGGCGAATTTGCCCCTGAAAGTTCGATTTTTCGGACTAAATCGCTCGTTTTGTGCCACGCTCCAGGCCATTGTGAACGCCGCCATGTTGGATTTTCTGTCGGCTTGGCTAAGCTTGATCTTCAGATGCCTTTCCTGCCTCCGAGATTAGAATGCGCACGCCATGTTTTAAGTTTCGGAGGCCGTGTTTGCTTTTTAAAAGACGCGGTGATGGACGCCGTTTTTTCGTCTTCGGTCAGCACTATCGTCATCACATCGCACGGGGAGGAGGCGAAAGAAGGATTCTTTTATTGTCGTTGCAGCTTTTTTCAGTCGCCATTCTGCTCGTGTTGTGTCGCGTAGCGTCGAGACGTTGTGTGCTTCGCAGCGGCTATCTGCGGCATCGAATTTTGTGTTCTCGGTGCCATGGCTCCGCTATCTGTGCCATCGCGGGAGCCAGGTGGTGTGAAGAAGCGTGGGAAGTATACGACCCTGACGATGGAGAAGAAAGCTGCCATAATCAAGCCAATAGAGAGTGGACATTCGCAGCTAGATGTCGCTGGATGACGGTCGACGCCGGATGGCGGTCGTCGTTGTCGTCGGATGACAAGGACGACCGCCCGCAGCCGTCGGAGATCGCCAACGCGGTGACAATTTTGTCGAGCGTTTACGGCGACGATGTCACCTTGGCGCAAATACGGGCAAACCAAATTGCCTCCAAGCGTAGTTTGAGGCAAGGCAGCATCAAGGACTTTTTTAAACCTGCCTGATGCAATAAACTTCAGATTTTTGGCGAAAACGAATTTTTCGGACTGTTCGATTTTTCGTACTTTCTTTCGGTCCCCGCCAGGTCCGAAAAATCGGTCAGCGACTGTATAATGAAAGCACACCCAGCACATCTCGCTGAGCATACCATCATAATCAGTTTGTGTACACTGCTGTCCAGCAGCGAAAACTAAAAAAATGTTTGTAGTGCATTTGATTTATTCGCTGGAGCACCATCACTCATAGCTTCGTAATGATGTCACCTGCTCCCATTGTATGATATGTAATGTACGGAAGCCAAATGGGAAACTTGAGTTGCGCTGGGTGTGCAGCAGCAAAGATTTGAGCAAACTTATCCATAATGGCGCAGAACGAATCTGCGGCAGGAGTTGGCGAGTTTGAATGTGTAGACTAATTGCAGTACCGTATAGCAACTTGCAGCTATAACGCGGCTTTGTTTTCATTTCTTTGCAGGGAGCAGTCGGGAGAGAGTACAGAACTCAGGCAGGGCTTGGTCGTCTTTGAGAGCATTGTGGCACTGATCCAGGACACCTGCAAGATTGTCAATCAGGTGAAGCAACACACAGTTCACATTGAATGTTGGTATCGACACGCCATGTTGCTGGAGCGGAGCTGCCGGGAACTTTTGAATCGCTTTTCATTGTTACACTGGCAGCAGGAGCCATTTTGCTCAAAATAACGCCTGCCCTTTTCTGTCACGTTTAGAGCAATGGCCACAAAGTAGACCCCTGTTGAATGGAACCTGGAGGGACCAGGAAAATGTGTTTTGTTTAACAGGAGTTTCACTTATTGAGAGATAAACAGAAGTGCAGATTTCACGTACAAAACTAATCATATTAGAGCCAGTTGTTTCACTTAAGCAGCGAGTTTATAAGAGATTTTTGTTTACTGACAGTCTACTGTATGTTCTAAAAGTAAAGCTATAGCAATATAAACTCAGAAACCTAAGTGACCTGCAATCAGAGCAGAAAAATTTATCTGACACGTTGGAGCTGATCATGTGGCGAAAGTAAAATGCATGAGGTGATCCCTGTTCTTCTATCTCTCTGGTTGTTCACTGGACAATTCCGTTTTGGTGAGAGTTTAAGCATGCGAACTTGACAAGTAATCATTGTGATGCATATTATCAGTTGCTATAATACTGTCGTACATATTTATGGAGCTTTTCTTATGTGAACTGCAATGCATTCTCAGACTGGCCAAGTATTTTTTCTTGTTGTGCAAACAAATAAGATGGCGATTTCGACAACGGTGTGTTTACTGGTGCGGCTTCATTAGTTGGGTGTATTTGCTGCATCTCACTCGGTACGATCTGAACCGCCATGCGAGACACACGAGCATGTGCTGTCTGGTCACCTTTGTCAAAAAGCTTCATTAGGAACGACATTGTAACGCTGGCTGACTGAGGCTTTTACGTATGCATGAGCTACTGCGAGAATTTGCGATCACTTATTTGTTTTGTGCAGATCCTGCTGCTTCAGCATCTTAACAACACGCGCATCTGCAACCGGCTGCTTGTGCCTGAAGCGACTGAGGATATCTGGAACCGAGAGTCTGAGATTGAGCAGAACAGTAGCATTGTGTCGGTGTACGGTACGTACCCACCTCATCTTGGTTGCACGGGGCCCCGAATAGTTAACTAAACAGGTTACTTTGCCAGATACGGAATTGGCATGATTGTAAGTCAGCTCGAGCCCCCCCCCCCCCCCCCCACCCTAAAGTTGCTCGAAAAAAAAAAAAGCAAAAGGACATTCCATTAAAAAATTAATTTGGGATGTCTCCGAAAAAAAAAAATACAATGAAACTTCGATGCGTTAAGGTAGCTTCACAGCAGTGCTTCCAAGCTATGCAATGCAGTAAAGCTAGCTTTGCAGGAATACGTGGGGATTATTTTCAGAAACCCATTACGACCGAAACTAGTTTGAATTCTAAGTCGACCCCCCCAACTTCGGATTTGGAATTAAGACAAAATGGGTCGACCTGCGATCATGTAAATATTGTAAGTGTGGCATTAGTGCTTGAATATGAGTTTAGTTATCATTTGTATTTGGAGTAAGTGACTGCTAGTGATAATGATTAACTCTGGTAGCCTTTTTGAACTCGGTGCCTGCTGCTGGTTGCTACTTGTATGTTTTCTTATCTAATGGTCTTCAGAAGCTTTTTGTTTGAAGCTTATGCTTACTGTGCATAGCTTCACACATGTAGCACGGTAAATTACAATTAACATAATCAAGACTTTAATGAGAATTGTAAAAATAAAGAAATACATCTTGTAACTATCTTTTTTTTAGGTTGTTCGTTTATTTAACCTTCAGGTATTTCTTTCGTCTGACCTGACTTTATATTATTTCAGTCATTTTACTTATTTATACAAATCATTTACAGGTAGTCCCATTATTGCTCCAGTTTTTCTCTTGCTTTCTATTTTCATGTAGTCTAGTTTTGGCCACCCACACAAACCTGTTTAAATTCATGTTATGTCCTCGTTACTTGGCCATTACTTGATTCAGCAAAAGGACACACCTGATTCAGCTTGTTCTTATTCTCCTCAAAGACAACGACGGTTCGGGTGATGGCCACGGTGACTACCTCGAGGCCACTCTCAAGTTCAAGCCGGGTGCCTTTGACTGCAGCATAGTGTGGTCCTACCCACTTCAGTCTTCATCCGCGCCTGAACACGGGAACCGGAACCGGACGAAGTGGCATCTCTCGAGGTGCATCGCATTTTGTTAATACAGTAGACTTGTGATAATTCAAACTTTGATAATTTGTAGTTTCGATTAATTCAAACAAAATTCAATTTTTTGGTCAGCCCTCTTTACTTTCAATGTATTTAAAAGCCTCTTAATTCAAACTCTTCATTTGTTAATTCATACTTTTTCTGGTTCCATACCCGAAAATATCTCCTGCTTTCCCACTACTATTTAAAATTTTGCGTGCTTATATAATCCTAGCAGTCTAAAAATGACAAATGAATGCCTTGGCCTTTGAGGAAAAATGGCTTTGCTAATAAACAAATCGTGATGCTTCTCACGTGGTGCAGAGAGATTTGTGCTGAAGGCACATAGCAAAGAAGCAGTTGACAGTTAACGATTTATTTCAAAGGTCTGATCAGCAGTAAATGGCCAATAAACTTGTGTACTTTACACCTCTGCTAACTGTCCACTGCATGCAGTTACGTCTTAAAAACACTTAAAGAAATATAATGTGATAAAATTAATGCCTAATCATAATGTGTGGATGTCACTTGGCCCAGATTCAAATATCTGAGAACTTATGATAATTCAAACTTCTTGATAATTCAAAAAAATTCAGAGGTTCCTTCGAGTCGCAGTATCTCAGTGAACGAGTCGCAGTATCTCAAACATCGCAGTATCTCAGTGAAGAAGTCATGCTTATTTGAGCTGCAGACACCACTGAGAGCGCCCACTCCCATGGTGCGGTTTAGCAGCTTACCGAGGTAATTTCATCGCAGAAGGCCCGATGGATAATACGGTCTCTCCAGGACTTTTTTGGGACTTTTTTTTTTTTTAATGATGATCTCCTGTTCAGCTACGTGGATCACATAGATGCTCCTGAAAATGGATGTGCGGCAGCTTCGCATGAAAAAATGAAATCTGACAGACTATGGCTTTTCTGCTAACAAGTACTATATATAGCTGCAGCACATAAAATGTTTTGACCTCTCTTTTGCATTTTTTTCTCAAGCCACTCAAATCAGTTATTAGTAACTGCAATGGTATTTCCTTGGCACTTACATACCATTATAACTGGACTGCACTGTACAAAAGAGTGCATTTACATGAGCTGCTGTTTTCATTTCCTCTTCAATTGCAAACAGTCTTGCGTGTAAGCATAAGCACTGCATGCAGTTTTGGTATGGGATGCTGATACGTAGTAAAGCCGATATGTCTCTCGTTTGTTTTGGCGTGTTTAATTCACTACTTTAGTGAGTCTTGACGACACATGCGTCCCAGCCCAAGGTGTTTCATGGGATTGCGCCAGTGTCTGTTTTGTTTTTGAGGGAACATAGTCTTCAATAAATTTTCTTTCTCTTCTACCAGGCTTGCAAGCCCTGAGAGCTGTCCTGACTGGCTTTTCAGGTGAACAACCGCAAGAACATGTTTGTCTACCAGGAGAACTCAGGCTCCGTCTTCTATCTGCGGTAAGAAATACTTTGGGTTCGGCACTGCTTGTTAACTTGTATAGAAGCATGACACTCCACACACTGTCGTAAATGATGGAATTTTAACAGCATGGGAAAGAAAGAAAAAACTGTTGGCGATTGTTCTTTGCAGAAAGCTTTAAATAGATTTCTGTAGGGGCAACACAAGTGTGCTTGCTGTTGCGGTTTTATCACATAAACTTTCTCAAGGTGTCTTTAATTATCCTCTTTCGATAGCGATAGCACAGGCAAGCATCAACGGAACGTCATGTCTAGATTTATTTTGACCTTCTCTCAAGGTTTTACAGAATGTAAGTGGGGAGGGGGAGTCAAACGCTCCCAAGCCGCGCTGCTGTAGGACTACGGGGGAAAGTAGACCGGAACATTTGACCATCTCTTAATTAAGCATGTCAAACACTTCTGTGTTGCCAAGGTTGATGTAGTGCCTTATGTTCATCCTCACTACTGCCATTTCAGTATTGCTTGAATGCTAGCTTGGGTGTTATTGCTTAAAAGCGAACTCCGGCGATTTTTTGACCATGTCAAGGTTTTGGTGTTTCTATGTTCCTGAGACACCCTTGTCACGAGTCCAATAGCTGAAATGCTCAGGAAATGTGAAAATTATTTTTAATAAGCAAAAATGTGCAATACCGAAACCGAAACCCAACTGAGTGCCCTGTCTGCATATGACATACTATTTGGTACAGCCGGAGGCCGTATACCGGTTCCACCGGCGAGGAGTATGAGAACTGTAAAAGCCAGTCAAGCGAAGAACCGACCAAACACCACAGAGGAAGGAAGAAAGCATTCCCGTGCTATACCCATGCCAAACACCGCCACCGCCATCTTGTGGAAAGCACAATAAACACTGTAGTGGCCAAAGTAGGGACGCCATTGGCTGCGTCACTTCCGTTGACATGGCAGACATGACGTCACATAGACAGTGTTGCCAATAATTCTGGCAAGCAACGTGAGCTTTTCGAGGCAATCTTTGAAGTTCATTTGCAAACGATCAGTGCATCACTCAAACCTGATATTTGGCATAAAGGACTGAAATGTGCAAACGAATATACCCAGTAAATTTCATTGAGATTCATTGACCTCGAAAAATTGCTGGAGTTTGCCTTTAATGTCTCACTGTCTGATGCCTTATTACAGTAGAACCACAAAGTATAGCCGAATCTCATTAATTCGAACATGCTTAATTTGAACTTCCGGTTAATTCGAACTCACACTAAGGTCCCAATGAAGCTATGTGTATTCCAATGGGCGAAAACGCCCTGTAATTCGAATGCGCAAGCACTTGCGACGGTTTATTCGAACATACCACGCTATAAAAGTGCTCCCAGCATCCCGCCCAATCCGGCAGCGGCACCTGCGACACCTCAACACTGCACGCGAAGGAAAAGAAAAGGCTGCGATGAAATGTTTGCTTTCTTTCTGAAATGCTGATCTGTGGCGCGCCTGTGCCAGGCTTTTCCATTTTCCCTGCCTGCCACGTGAAGACCCTTCTCCTTTCAACGCTAGACGCGAAAGAGAGAGGGGGGAAAAAGAAAAAAAAGATAGCTGTCGCAGAGTGTTGGCTCTCTCACGCGCCGGTGCTACGCTTCCCCCTTTCTCGTCCATGCCACATAGACCCTTCTCTTTTCAACGGCACGTGCAAGAGCAAAAAAAAAAAGCTGTCATGAAGTGTTTGTTTTATCTCAAATGCCGATCTGCTTCTCTCCGTGTGGAGACACTCCTCCTTTTTCGTCACGTGCAGGCCACGCTGTGGCTGCGGCGCAGAGGGTAGTAGCGGAGACGCAGTCGTTGTTCTCGTCGTCTTTAGAGAGTGTCAGCGCTGGACATTGTCACGTGCAACTTCTCTTGCCTGGAGAATGCTGTAAGCCGAAGTAGAAATGCTTTGTAAGCTGTGTGCGAAATTTATTCACTGGCTGCAAGGCAAACATGTGTAGATGTGCATCACCAATTACTGCAATTAATAACGGATGCCCTGTGGTTTGAGAATAAATGTAAGTCTTCTGAAACTTCCCCCTCGTGTGTTAGCTCAATGCACATGCGCCACTGCATGGTGAGCACTCCGTTCATTTATCTTTCATTAATTTGAACGAATTTTCGGGCCCCTTCGAGTTCGAATCATAGAGATTCGGCTGTATATGACTTTGAGAGGACCACGCAAAGCCATCATATAATAAAAAACATAAGAGTATAGACAGTGCCACTCAGCATTGCCCAAAAAATGGATACAGGCCACCTGAATAAGCCTACGGCATGACCCTATTCTTTTCCAAGGAAGATAGAATAAATTACTTTTTTTAAATAGTAGTTAATGATGTCATTACTTAGTTGGAAATGGAAGCGAATATTTATTCTCAACTTTAAAAAGTCAAAGCCAACACACATTTTGCCCCCCATAAATCGAGTCCGAAAATCACCTCTGCGTGAAAACGAAATCAAAACTGCTTTGGCAACAGGCTCTCGTCATAAAAGACAGACACAGCATCATCCCCATTACATAATGGCGACTGAGCTGTGTGCATTGCATTTCTTGTCTGTGAAGTGGAACTCGTCATGTCCCATTGTTGTTATGAACATTCACGGTCAGTTACAGCAAAACTTATTTTGCACAATGAAAACAACTGCATTTTGTCCTTTTTCAGCGCTCAAACAAAGGCAGAAGGTCATCTATATGACATGCTGGAAATGTATTGTGAAGGCATGATAATATCTGGATCTTAATGACAAAGCTTTCTGACTAGCTGAAGCTATTTCGTGTGGATAGAGCTAGTCTAGGTGACGACCCTCAACAATACGCGCGCGGGTGAGGCGTATCCAGAAGCGACCTTAAAGCCAGGAATGCTGTATGACAGAAACACGTACTACAAGGTCGACAAATTTTTTATTTTAAAAACGTATTCCTTACTTGTGTTAACTTTACCTTTCCTCTATTTTTTGTGTATTCATCAACCTAAGGGCTTCCAAGTTTTTATTTAAAACCCACAAACATTAGGCTCTATTAGACTTGAGTAAAAAAGGGATTTTTTTTTCGCAGGATGATGCCTGAACGTCATCGTACGATGAGGGGTTGACGCAAGGTTCATCGTATAACTGAGGTTTTCAGTTCATTGTTTCCAAGTGGTGTTGCTATCGTGGGGAGGCTGCACTCTTTGTGAAGTTGTTTGTGCCGCGTGGCGCATGTGTTCTGCGCAGAAGCCATATTTCGGTGTCACAACTATTGAGCGGTAGGTGGCATTGTGTTCGCGAGCGTTGATCACCACTATCATCATCACGATTAGATTGGTAGCACCAGCGGTGACCTCTGGCGGCAAGCCTTGGTAGAGGCACGTGAGAGTTGAGCGACTCTTTCTTTAGCATGGGGCGGTAGTGCGAACGGTTGTCTCTTGCGTGGGTCCCCGGTGCACGGCACCGCGGGCCATCTGCCGGGGGCGCTTGTGGTGAGCAAAGCGTTGGCGAAGCCGCCTTGCGTGTGTTATTGTGTTGGTCATGTTGTTGAGTGCTGTGTAAAATTGTGTAAGGTTGTCCTAATCTGTTGATCACAGTTGATGTTATAATAATTTGGCTGGCGATATCATCGTTCTAAAAGTAATTAAATAAAGGTATGTTGGCTTGAATCGTTCCGACCGCATCTATTGTGTCCATTTACTCCAAGAGTATGGTGCTCTCCACCTTCGGGACCCCACACCGTGACCAGACTAATTTGTTATAAAATGCAGGTGGTTGCAAAACTGGAGACGTATGATCGAGAATTCGCTGTATTATGCGAACAAAAACAATATGTAGTCATTGTGATGAAAATGGTAATTTGTAGGTTTGTGCAAATAATCTGGCACAGTATTCAAATTTTTTTTGGTTTGAATATAAGCTATTAGAAATTCTGAAGTACTTAACATGAACAGATAAGTCTATACAGTACTAGTGCGCATGTAATCTTTTGTAAAGGTGGCTTCACTGCACGTGGAGGAATGCTGTACCATTATTAGATTGATCCTAGGAGAAATTCGCCCTGCCTCAAAGCCCCATTTGAAGGTTAAATGAACATATACCATCACATTGATTCATCATCTTTTAAGTTTGAAAGTTCGTTTTACTGGCTTACTGCCTAGTTATTGTAAATTTTGAAACGTAAGTTACCACTTGCCTTCTATCGCAAGTCACATAGCCCCGCCGTGGTGGTCTAGTGGCTAAGGTGCTTGGCTGCTGACTCGCAGGTTGCTGGAATCGAATCCCGGTTGCGGCGGCTGCATTTTCGATGTAGACGAAAACGCTGTAGGCCCGTGTGCTCAGATTTGGGTGCACGTTAAGAACCCCAGGTGGTCAAAATTTCCGGAGCCCTCCACTACGGTGTCTCTCATAATCATATAGTAGTTTTGGGATGTTAAACTCCCCGTATCAATCAATTGCAAGTCACATACTGCAATTATTATTTCCACTTCCCTCTGAGCCAAAAAATATGATATTTACATTTGTCTTGTTTCAATATTTAAAAAATGTATTGGTTAGTTTTTTTGCAATATATTATAGTATACACTACTTGAGTCCAATTCGAAATTACTTACCAATCTTTATTTGCTTCGTATTCGCTTAGAACCTGAAATTTACTATTCACACATGCCTAATAATTTGCTATTCAACAAAACAAGTTTTGTTGGAAATCGTTCCTTAATTCACTCTTCGTAAACAATTTTTGTTTGTCTTTTATTCAGCAGACTTAATTGCTCGCTGGTAAGTGTTTGTAAAGCCCAATGTCGTTATGCATTTCATCTTTCTTACTTTCTTCTGTGCTGATTAAATAAGCAAGCTGTAGATGTTATTTCATGTATTGCCTTTTTTGCAGGCTTCACGAAATGCCTTGTCATGGACGACATGGCCGTGCTGAAGATGACGTGTCATTCTCAGGTGAGTTGACGTCTGCATGTACACCTCTGCAGTGTGCTGGTTTTGTTGAAGTTGCCTGGCAAAATGCATAGCTTAGCCGTAGTGTAAACTGAACTACTTGCAGTAGAAACACAGCCATAACCAGCCGAATGGTTTTTACCATTACTATAGCTAAAAGGCAATCAAAAGAAAGTTTTGCATGTTGAAAGCTTAGTTCTGGCAACATAGTAGATATGGAGCAGTCTAGTTGCGTTACAAATTGCTGCATCCACCAGGGTAGCTTGGGTTCTGTGGTGTTACGCTGCTATGGCCAAGGATCCGGGTTTGTCTCCTGGCCTTGGCAGCATTTCTTCAGTGAGAGTAAAAGGCAAATTAGACGCAAATGAAGCACATCAGGTGGTGAAAATGAACCTGGAGTCCTCGGGTTATGGTGAGCCGCACAGCTGGTCCTGCATTACACTAAGCGGTTCTGTTAAAAGTGGTCTGTACTGTGAATGCTCTTGAGCGCTGACCGCCAGGAAATCGAGCCTGTTTGTATAACACCTGGACTGTAAACTGCAAACTCTTTCTAACACTTGCTTCTGTATATATTACCGGCATGCACAGGAGAAAGAAATTTCTCAGCCCCTTGTTTCTAAGTTTCAATTAAAAAAAAAAGCAGAATGAAATGTGCTATCCGGGAGAACATACAGTCCAACTTTAGTATAATGTTGTGAAATTTTGCTTGCTAAGGATACTACAGACACTGGCATTAAGAAATCATATGAAGTGGGAACTAATTGAATAAATTATGGTATGATGAATGTGTTACCAAAACTGATGTTGTCTACCTTCTCAAGAAAAAATATCATGCTCTGAATCCCCCAGGATCAAGGAGTTCCTCTCTGGTCAGCTTGGTTCAAAAAAAAGCTGCTTGCGATCAAGAGGAGGAATTTGTAAGAAGGAATCTTTGCTTTATTCATTATAAACTGCCTGCCATGCTGTTGCGTGTCTATTAATTCTCAGTGATTTTTACGAATGAAACGCTGCTGAAGGAAATTGTAGATGTAATGTTGCAAGTGGCTTATACAATTCTGGAAATTTTACTGGTGGACTTTCGTAAGCTGTCTCCCCAGTGAATTACAACCTCTTGAGACAGCTTATTGACTGTGGCATTGTGTAGGCGAACTCAAGGACAGCTGCTTATCAAGAGATGCGAAATGCGAAAGTACCTGTGAACTTAGATTTAGGTACAGGCTCGACAACTGTAGGAGGGAACACGCATGTGCACGGCTTCTTTTCGAAGAGGTACATTGAGAAGCACTGGCCATCTGTTTTTTTTTTTTTTTTTTTTATTCAGTTGGCTTTAGCGAATATGGTGGCCCCTTGGGCACTGTTCACGGCGTTGTTTGTTGAGTGATTTTGCATTGTGGGATACGTTACCTCTGCTTTCTTCTTCGGGAGATCGCAGTTCAACCCCTTTATAAGAGGCTGATGTAAGAGAAATGGATATAAGGAACACGAGTGTGCCTACAGTGGAATAGGGGATGATAAGAAGATGCATATGTTGTGTCCTACTCATAAAAGACACCTCTTTTAAAGGACAAGAATTGCTGCTCGATGCGTGTCTCCTATAAAAGGGTACAACTGTAATATCATAGCTGTCAACACCAGCAATCTTGACAAACGGTGGTCGTAGTTAATGTACAGTACACAACTTTGTCACGCTCACAATCATAATATCGGGCTCTTAAATGTTGTTGAATTAACATTATTACAGACACAGTCATAGCACCTTCACGAGTTCGTACTTTCGTGCTTCTAATTTACTTTTGTACTGTAGACTTAAAACATATTTAACGACCACCAGAAAGGCAGTTGGACGACATTGGGAAAGGCTTCGGATGCTGTACTTGTGAGGTGCACCTTGTGTGGAATTCGCAGCCACTAGCATAACATTTTTTTCTGATTGTGTACAAAGCTAATGCACACCTCATATAGGCCTGTGCTTGTTGTTCAGCCAATGTTTCATTGCTCCTGTAAATAACATCTGCCTATATTTCCGCCAAACTACCGACAAATAGGAATTCCGACCGCGGTTGAGCTCCGGCCACTCCGATCGGGACCAGTCTCACGATACTGTCAGCGTGACATCACACGCCTCGGGCAGCCGCAACAAGCCACACCAGTGCGTTGTCATGAACGTGCACGGCATTGTCCAACCCGGTGAGTGCGCTGTGTTTGGTTCATTTTAGCTGCTATTGCATTGAGCAGCTTTTTACGTTGATAGCTATTACAGAAAACCCTTGAACGTGAGATCAGACGTATTAAAGCAAATGCTGAATTTGTTCTCAATCATGGTAATGCAAGGTGTGTGGCATCGAATCTCACATGCTAATGTCTAGGCTTGTGCGAGTAGTGAATATTAGGTTTGAAGCGAGTTCGAAGTGAACAGTAATTATGATAGAAAAATTTTTACCCAAATTCGAATACAGGATAACCCCTTTATAAGAGATACTGATATAAGAGACAAATGGGTATAAAGACAACAGTGTGCCTACAGTAAAATACCGTATTTACTCGATTCTACCGCGCCCTCGATTGTAACGCGCACCCAGTTTCCACGACGAAGAAAAAAAGTAAGACATCGATTGCAACGTGCACCCATTTTTCTCGTTGGCCCACACATTCATACCATTCGAAAAAACGACTCCTTTCAGGAGTGCATTTCATTTAAATATGAGGTACGGGCGAAGCTTGTGCCCATCTGACGTGTAACAGAGCATTGCCGTCACTGTAGTTTTACCGTGGACCGATGTTAGCACGCGGACTTGCTTCGCCCCCTTCTTCTAGACGGTTGTGGTGCCAGGCATGTCGAAGTAAACAGGCGTCTGATCGGCATTCCCGATTTGCCCAAGCAGGTAGCCGTTGTTGTGCCGCAAGTTTAGGATGAACCTCTGAAAACTGTGAAGCTTTTCATCGAACTCCTCCGCAAAACTTTTCGCATATGCCCGTCCGCCTTCGGAGGGAAAAGCCTTTCCTCTTCGTAAGGTTAGTTAGCCAGCACCTGCTCGCTTTAAACTGGCTCCGCATTAGCCCAGGCTAACTGCATAGCCCGCACATGGAGCAGTTCTGTCGTCCCGGGCCGCTCGCTGCTCAAGCACATACTCGCCGAGCAGCTCTTCAATTTGTGGTAACCGAGCCTGCTGTGGTCCACTGAAGCCTTTGCGTGAAGCTTTGCTGTCGACAATCTTCTGCCTTTGTTTCCGCCAGTCCCGCACGCACGTTTTGAAAACTCCGAACGACCGCAATGCGGCCTGATTTCCGTCCGTTTCTGCACACGCAATGACTTTCCTTTTAAAAGTGGCATCGTGGTGCACTCGAGTTTTTGGAGTTCGCCCTTCCATGTCGTCGATGCTAATGCACTACAAGATGACGAACTCCTCAGCACACATACGAAGTGCCGCTCATGGGAAACACATAAGCAGAAATGGCCGACGTGCCACGCCGACACACGTAGGGAGCGGCCATTTTGGAAATGCCGATGGCAATAGAATGACGGTATTCATTTTTTTTCAGTACTCGATTCTAACGCACATGCGATTTATGAACTCGCTTAACCGGAAAAAAGGTGCACGGTAGATTCGAGTAATTACAGTACTGGTTCATGAGAAAATGCATGCAAGGTACCTTGCTTATAAGACACATCTCATATAAAAGACAAGAATTGCTGCTTGGAGCATGCCTCTTATAAAGGGGGTTTAACTGTACTACATACACTCAAACATCATTATAACAGTTGCATCTCAGACAAAAATAAGTTTGTTATATCCAAAAAGTGGCTATTAAGGTATATTCCTAACACTATGTCTATTGAAAGACTATTTTTCATTTACTTTGTTATAACCAATATTTCATTATATCTGGGTTCGATGTATTGAGGCTTGAGTGTATCGCATATCATAAAGAAAAGTGAGAATGTTTGTCATGACCGAACTAACCTGCACAATATTTTTAAGCATTGAAACAAGGACTGTACAAATGCTATTTTTTTTTCATTCAGAGGAAGTAGAAACAACTTTGTATAGTAGGAGGATTTGAATTTCACAACAATGCAAGTGATAACCAGTAAATTATGTTATGTTTTAAGGTTTACTATGCTTACAGCATATAAACTGGTTGTATAACAAGCTTTTAAACTTAAAAAACTATGAATCAATGCGAGGGTAATATGCTCATTTAACTTTGTTGTGAGGGCTTCGCGGCAGTGCGGATTTCCCCTGGATAGGTGTTTTCACGGCTCAGCATTCTTTTAGAGCAGTTATGCAATGTTGTAGTTACACAGTTAATGAGTTTTAGTCCCTATTTTAGGTCTGCGCCATGGGGATAACGCTGAATGCCAGGAGATGCGAGCCGTGCTACGCAGGAAAAGTGAAATTCAGCAGACAAGGGACATCCAAGTTTAGCAATGTATCAATTTGGGGTAGTTGGCGCGGCATTGTAATGTGGTTGAACTGAGCGAAATGCACGAACGACTGACGGAGAATAGGACGGTACACCAGCTACGCACCTCGTGTCTGGTCCTATTTTCCGTCAATCGTTTGTGCGTTTGACGCAACCACAATACAAAACAGTTGAGTGTTGTTGCAGGTTTTAAAGAGCCCCTCAAACCAAATTTAGAAAGTCAAGACGCCTGTGTTGTTTGATAGTCCTGCACGCATTGGCACTTATGACTGACTATGACTAATAAAAATTACCTTTGAAATATTTTAATTGGGTTTTAAGGTAAACGTTATAGGGGTTACTATGTAACAAGCAGATCCACGAATAGGAAACTATCCAGTCTTTGGATCGCACCACGCTCTAGCGTAGAGTTTGTTACTCGCTACTAGCACTATCCAGCAGCCCTATCAGTCAGAGCTGGATCCCTAACTCGTGGTTCATATTAAGTTGTGATCACGGCTGGTTTCAGGTCGGTGGTAACAGAGACGAGTTCTTTGCTTCGACGCTCTGTATTAGCATCAAGCACCACAAACACACAACACAATGACAGGTAAAAACGAAGTGGCAGATCACGTCTGCCCCACCGCGGTGGTTTACCTGGCATTCAGCGTTATCCCCATGGCGCAGACCTAAAATAGGGACTAAAACTCATTAACTGTGTAACTACAACATTGCATAACTGCTCTAAAAGAATGCTGAGCCGTGAAAACACCTATCCAGGGGAAATCCGCACTGCCGCGAATCCGCACTTGGCTGCCGACGCGCAGGTCGCGGGATCTAATCCCGACTGCGGCAGCTGCATTTTCGATGGAGGTGAAAATGCTGTAGGCCCGTGTTCCCAGATTTGGGTGCATGTTAAAGAACCCCCAGTGGTCGAAATTTCCGAAGCGCTCCACTGAGGCGTCTCATAATCATATCGTGGTTTTGGGACATTAAACCTCACATATCAATGAATCAGATCAGGTCTGCATGACAGTGTGAAAAAGCATCAAAACATAAAGAACACAAGAAAGAGAAAGAGCTATATTGCTTGTACTCACCTCTCGTGGCTTTGAACTCGGGGGCCCTGAGGCAGTATGTCACCCAGAAAGAGGCAGATGGTGCGAAAGGGGTGATGGCGGCTGGGTAGCTCCAGACTCGGTTGAGCTGTGCCAGTGATGGCTCTTCAAGTCAAAATACGATGCCCCCCCAGGAAGCAATGTGCAATCCTGAGCTTTGGAGAGGAGTCTCCCCAGAAAAGGGTAAGGAGGGAAACGGAGCATCTCAGCTTCAGCCAGGCTGCAGGGCGCAAAGGGTTACGGGAGGGGCACAGCGTGCCCTCTCTCGCAACCCTTCTCACAACTGCGTGTTCAGCGCACCTAAGCTTGCGAGCACATGATTTCAGGTGCTCTCTCGTTGTGGGGCACTAGTTTTTTTCAATTTTAGGCAAGTGTTTTGAAGTGGTGCTAAAATTTATCACAGTAACAATGCATGCATTAATTACACAAAACATTAAAGCATTTACAATGTAATTTCATAATTATTAGAAACACGGCTACGAATTACAGTAAAAAAGTCACATTGCTGTCAGGAGTCCTCTGAGTTGCCAATGAGGTGCGGGTGATTTATCCGAATTTATGTTTTGTGCAGGCTTTGCCATCAAGGAGGAACTAGTTTCGGTCATGCAGAATCGTTTGGACGATGCAGTCTTGGAAGTCCTCACGACCACCTTGGCTCGAAACCCTGCGTGCAACCTCACCATTGATGATGTTCAGGTATGCGAGAGTTACAATTACTCTTGTAGTCTGGTAAAATTTTCTGTTTTTTTTCTTGCTCTGCCAGGTTTGCTGATAAGTGGGGACAGGCAAGCATTGCATCTTGTTACGTGTGCAGTGGAACCTCGATATATCAAACGGCGCGGCGATCGCGAAATAGTTCGATATATCCAGAATTCGATATAAAAAAAATCACGAAAAAAATGCGTCAACAGCTTGCTGAAAACAACCAACGAACCGTTCAAGCGTGGTGCAGTAAATACTCACTTGAAAATTCAAACATAGTATTTATTGTGTTGGTTTAAAATATTGAAAAAGAGTAGCCTGCTTTTTGTTGGCCATGGCGTGTTTGACGACTGCGTCCTCAATATAGTCCAGCGATCCATAAGTGATAGGCCTGTGCCTTCAATCGCGCCGCAGTGGCGGCGCACAAGGGCCAAGGCAGCTATGACCTCAGCTGATGTCGAGAGCGGGGCACCATCAGCGCTTGCGGGATCCACCTCGGCAGAGTCTTCATTTGGCTGCTCAGCAGTAGCTTCGGCGACAATCTCCACATCCGTGAGCTCCGCCGTGAGCTCCGCCGTGAGCTCCGCCGCTCGGAGTGAGGCACCACAGCGCGCGACAGGCCTAACTCCGAACGCACGAACACTGCGAGCACGACCGATGCCTGCCGATGCTACGGGGTGGAGCTTGCAACAAGTGCGCAGTGTGCCGTTGACACTATAGAGACTGCAACGACTGCAATCTGCAAGGCTGCGGCGTGAGTCCGGGTGTAAAGCGCGCACATGGCGCACCCATGCCGGCTCGCCTGACTGCTTTCCCTTTCCGGCAGCAGCGCGGACCGCGTCCGAGACAGTCGTCTGCGTCCTTTCTCTCCTATACTTTCCTCCTCAGTCTTTACCTCCCACTCCCCCTTCCCCCACGCGAAGCCGTGTTGGTGCCTTCGTATTGAAAGAAAATAACAGCTCCATGCTTTTCTCTTCACTTTCCTCATTCAAGAACCTCTACCGCAAGGCTGCGGTGCGCGTACGTCGCTACGTTAAAGTGGCGCTCTCGGCGCCATCGATGTGTGCAGCATTCGTAAACGCCCGTCGCTCTACCCCTACTTTCGAGAAGATGCGGGAAAGCTCGCCGCCTGTCAATGGAGTGCGGGTGGTTTGGGCTGGCTGAGTTCGATATATCCATTATATATCAAACTTTGTTCGAAATAAAAAATCAATAATGCATGCGATTTCCCGCGTGATATAGGAACCGTTCGATATAGGCAATATTTCGATATATCCGTGTTTGATATATTGAGGTTTGACTGTACCTTTTTCTGCTTCGTTTTAAACTCTGAGAGACAGTGAGTTGAGTTAGTCTGGTAAAATGCTTACGCATTATTACTTGGTTTAGCAGATCAGTCACGTGTAGCCCTGCAAGGTGGATAAAAGTTCGTGATAGCAAAGAACCATCATTCATTAGCTCTGACATGAAACCTACAGTAGAAATGAAGATTCATGGAAAATCACTGCTTGAAGTCTTGTGGAAAACAATTTTATTGTTCACAAGCCGTCCTTCATCTTGTGGACTTAAGGAATACAGACTTACCTTACAGGTCAACACCGGTGATTTTTTTTACCATGCCAGGATAATGGTGCCTTGATGTTCCTGAGACGCTCTTGTCACACGCCCGGTATGCTTAACAGATTAGAAAATAAATTTTAATTAGCCGAAAACCACAATACCAGCACGAAAATCCAGCCCAGTGCTTTTTCATGTATGGCGTAATCCTTTGCCCGAACCTGCCTGGTTGTGCATAACGCCGCTAGAGGGCACTGCCTGTCCGGACTGTCGAAGTTTGTCCCTACGATGATGGGCTAAAACGCTCACGCTGTAATGGTGTATATATGGTGAGTAGTGTGTGGACCACAGTGCAACGCCTCTTGCCACCTATCACAAGCACACCAACACGGAAAAGGAAATCGCAGGCTCAACCAAGGAAGCGCGTGCCCAGCCCACACAATCCATAGCAGACAAGCAGACGCTGCAGTGGCACATCAGTTCTGTCTTTCCCGCTTTGCAAAAATCAATGTCACACACACAATGTAGCCATTAAATTCAGGCAAGTGAGGTGAACATTTGGAGACAAGCTATAAAATTCATTTGAAAAGAATCTGCGAAACTCTCAAGCCTGCAATTTGGCATGAACGGCACAAACGTGCAAATGAATGTACCCAGTGAATTTCATTGAGATTTATTGACTTCGAAAAATTGCTAGAGTTGGAGTTTAATGAATGTCTCTGTGCCTGAAGTTGCTCATTATTTCATCCTCGCCTGCGATCTGCCAGCCCCCAGGTTGGGTCAATCAAGCAACCGCTTTATTAAGTCACGAATTTCCAGTTTTTGTCCTTCCACTGTGCCATAGGGCTTTGAATCCCGAGTTTTTGTCCAGCCTGGGAAGTTTTTTTTTTTTTTTTTTCACTCGCTGTCATTTTCTTTTTTGAGAAACCAATATTGGGTGCATGGGTGTAAAAGATTGATTTCTCTATCAAGACTAAACTAAAACTTATTTGGCAGAAAAAAATTTATTGGTCATTAACAAAGAGAACGAAAAGCAAAGTTCTCGCTGGATTTTGCACCCAAGCTACATTGCCAGCACATCGTCATGAAGCAATGAATTTCAAGATCTTCGTCATGTTTGAACCACCCTTGTTTATCATCTTTGTCGGAACTGCGTCTTATTTGAACAAATTCATTCCAAGCTCCTTTGTAGTTCACGTTAACGAGATTTTACAGCACATCCTTCCGCACTATGCAGTTCATCCAAAAGCCTCAGAAGGAGCCCACGACGCAGCTGTACTGCACCGTTCAGGCTCAGCTGCTGCCCTACCTCCAGGCACTGATGGAATACTTGCGCCAAGACCTGCACACTTTCCTGCCAACACCGAAATACACTGACCCAAAACCAGAGAACCATTTCAAGGTGAGCGCTGTGGGACATTTTCCAGACAGAAGTGTACAGTACTCACGGTTTCACACATGACAACACATTTTTGAGTGTAATGACTAGTATATGCTCGAGAAAGCCTTGTCATGTTGCGACGAATCTGGATCCTAAATATAATGTTGGCTCTAATCTCCGCATTTAGTCGCAAATACCCAGATATTCCCCGAACTGCTGACAGTAAAAATGAAAGTATGTGAATTACTCAAGTCTTAAATTGTCCTGTTTCAATTCATGAGCACTGCACTGTCATGGACTAGTGAAATGTGAGCAGCTCATGGCTAAATGAATTGCGTATTTTCATTTCTTCTGTATGCTTAACGTCAAAAAACATAGCTACTGTATTTACTTGCGTAATCCTCACGCTCGCATAATTTTCGCACCCCCCGCATTGCCCAACAAAAATTGTGGGGTCTCGGCGCGGCGAACGCGCGCATCGCCACGCCACGCTCTTGGAGTGAACGGACACAGTGGACACGGTCGGTACAAAGCACACAACATACATACATTTATTAACTAATTTAGACGACGATATCGTCCGCCGAATGATACATCAATTTCAACTAACACGCTACCATACAAACAACATAACGCAGGGACACACTAAACACACAATAACATGATAAACACACACTAACACACCCAACACACTAGCACATACCCAAGGCGGCGTCGCCAACGCCTGACTTTACACGTGGGACCCCGGCGCGAAGCCCGCGGTGCCGAGCACCGGGGACCCGCGCTACAGACAACCGTTCGCGGCAGCCGCCACGCGCAGAAGAGACTCGCTCAACTCTCGCCCACCACCAAGGCCCGCCTTCCGCCAGGGGCCACCACCGGCGCTGCCACTCTACCAACAGTGGTACTCAGAGCGAACACAACGCCACCTATCGCCCGGTGGTGGTCACCACCGAAATAACGCCCTGGGGCGAGACACGTGCGCGACGCGGCGCAGACAACTTTACAGGGGGGGGGTGGCAGCACCCCCACATTCCCCCAACCTTAAATCAAACCATATCCCGAAATCAGAAATTAGCTACACAAGCTTTAACAAAAAAAAATGATATCGCACGACCATAATGTCCTTGCACCACGACACCGCCGCTGGTCGACACTGCTGCACTCTCCGGCTAGACTTCACCTCAGTACCGGCCCCGCAACAGCAACGTTGCCGTCGGCGCGACGATCCGTCGCTAGCGCCGACACGTCTTCCAGTTGCGACCAGCACTCACGAGGGCACCGGACTGCAGGCAGTTGCGCAGGTCCCAGGCATCTCCATCGCCCGACCTCACGACCGCATTCCTGGCCAACGACGCTGACGATGTGCAGGACAGCCGGCCGTGGATGACATCCCTCCCGCTGAATACATCGACAAAAAACAAAACTCGAAAGAAACAAAGGAGCGCGGCCCAGGGGAGGGAGCTTCAGGCTTTTCGGCCACGTGGTACGGTGGTTAGTACTGCTAGCTAATACATCGGTGGCGGCCGAGACGCCCATCAAAATAAAACAAAAATCACTTTTCCTAACTCATGCTCACAAGAAAAAAAAAAGTGAGGGAAGCTGAGCGCAACACCTCAACGCCACGATCCACCTAGTTGTGCCACGTGCGACAGGCGGCTGTGCAGAGCCTTAGGCCTAATGAGTCGCTCGGCAACAACCGGCATCCACCCAGCACCCAGCCTAGGCGCAGGAGAGGCAGCCGCGAGGAGACGTCCACTCTGTGAGGTGGCCCTATCGCTCGCCGCACACAGCAGCTTACCGAGCGATCGGCGTCCACCGCCCCGGGCGGTGTCACGACGCCCCGGCGTCGAGCCGCAATACAAGTCAGCAACGACGCCCGGCTCCCTGAGCCCAAAGAGATAGAAGAAGCTATTCACAGAAAATCGGACCACCCACGAGGCTTCCGTACTCACTCGCTTCGGGCCTGGCCTACAAACCACGTGCTCTAGGCCTTGCTCACCCCAGGATGCGGACCGCATGGCTCTCGTCCTAATTCAACAACGTTTTTGAAAACTAACAACAACAAAAAAATAACAACACTTGTGAGCAAAAAAAATAAATAAAAAGTCAACCTGCCGACCAATTGAAACACGTTACAAAACCAATCTCCTCGCTTCTCAACAAAGCACACAACCGACGCTAGCAAAGAAGTCCCCCCTAGGCCTACTCTACTCCGGCTCTAACAAAATCCCTGTACCGAACCGCAAAAACTGTCGTCCGACACTCCAAGAGCCCCACGTTGGGCGCCAGTGTGGGGTCTCGGCGCGGCGAACGCGCGCATCGCCACGCCACGCTCTTGGAGTGAACGGACACAGTGGACACGGTCGGTACAAAGCACACAACATACATACATTTATTAACTAATTTAGACGACGATATCGTCCGCCGAATGATACATCAATTTCAACTAACACGCTACCATACAAACAACATAACGCAGGGACACACTAAACACACAATAACATGATAAACACACACTAACACACCCAACACACTAGCACATACCCAAGGCGGCGTCGCCAACGCCTGACTTTACACGTGGGACCCCGGCGCGAAGCCCGCGGTGCCGAGCACCGGGGACCCGCGCTACAGACAACCGTTCGCGGCAGCCGCCACGCGCAGAAGAGACTCGCTCAACTCTCGCCCACCACCAAGGCCCGCCTTCCGCCAGGGGCCACCACCGGCGCTGCCACTCTACCAACAGTGGTACTCAGAGCGAACACAACGCCACCTATCGCCCGGTGGTGGTCACCACCGAAATAACGCCCTGGGGCGAGACACGTGCGCGACGCGGCGCAGACAACTTTACAGGGGGGGGTGGCAGCACCCCCACAAAATACGATTTATTTTTTTCCTCGAGTAATTATCACACCCCCGAAAATTGCTGCAATAATGTCGTCTGCTCGTTACAGCCACTAACGATGATAGTGCACGCCATCTGGTGCCATCTCCTAAGCATAGAGCATACTATTATTGCACCGAGATTGAATCCAATTCAATCCAAGCCAAGCCAAAGTGGAAAGTGCGTGTTGCGACATGTTTTGTATGTTGTGTCGGTAATCTTATTACATTATGGGGCGATATGGAAGCTACACAGCTGCTTTCAAGTTGAAAGGGATTGATCATGCACTAAAGAACGGCAGCAAGACTGCCGATAGGAACTTCCGAGTCGACGAGTTTTGTGTTCGCTACTGGTGACGCCAGCTGAAAGCCACCAAGATGCGTTGGGCCTTTGAGTGCCTTAGACCGAGATTGAGGGTAAACTTTATTTCGTCAGAAGGCAGCTGCAAATGATTCTGTTAAATGGCCATCGTATGCAAAGCTTGTGGGCATTTCCGGAGTAGCAGTAGCATTCGTCGCTCAACAGGAGCCCACAAAAGGTAAGCATAAGCCATCAGCACGTCCTGCGCTTACGTTTTGCGGGCTCCTGTTGAGCGACGAAAACTACCGCTACACCCGCAACGCCCACAAGCTTTGCATACGGTATTCTAATTCTTGACTATTTGCTTGTGCCTTTTGTGTCTCAAATAAATGTGGCCTTGTGTTGAATTTGTGCTTTTATTGTTGAGGTAAGTTTTAATGGTAAGTTGAGATAAGCTTGCTGTTAGTTGCTGGTGTGAGAATCCCGATTTGTGGCCACTTCATTTTCTTTTTCGCTCTATACGTTTTCAGTGGAAAGTTTTCCCCGTGTAATGCTCGCAACCCCCAACTTTGCATCGTTTTCCTGCCAAGAAAAACGCGAGGATTATGTTAGTAAATACAGCAGTGGTCTGAGACAGTATTGTTGAGTTATTACCAGAAAAACTAGAACATTCTGGGATTTGTTGTTCACATTTCAGGATTTTTGATTAATAAATAAATAAAAAAAAGATGTCTACAACTGAACTTGTTTTCAAAGAAAATTACAACAGCAGTGAGAAGACCGAACATCATTTGCTATGCCCACTTATTGTTTTGCTTTCTGTTGCCTGCCTTGTGTCTTTGTTGGGCCATCATTATTGCGTCATTGTTCATTTATTATATCTAATCCTCAGTTTCATCCACTGCTGACATAGGAAAAAAAACATTATCTGACTGTTGCTGGTGATGACTGCCCATGCAAATAACAATGGTACACATTCAGAAAATTATTCACTTCATAAAAAAAAATGGTGCCCCTAATGTTGTTTGTTTGTAGCACTTTAGGGCATTTGTCGTAGGTTTGTGCTATAACTTTGGGGTATAGCTGCAAACCAGCGTAAATGCGGTGGCAGTTACGCAGTGGCATGGTTATATGTTGGCCAATTCATCACATTTGTGTTGCTCAGAGCATAGTAGGTTGTGTTGCATGTATTTATTTATTTTGCAGCACATTTATGATTGGTATCATTATAGCTTACGTACAGCTCATTTTTTGAGGCACTCATATGTCGCCAACTTTGATAATGCACGCGTACTTGCAGCCATATGTGGAACACCCAGCACATGCGTTGTGCACAAGGACGAAGACGTCTTTCTCTTCAATCGATTCATGACCAGGGGCACTCCCAGCAACGGTACAGTGCATTGTATATTTTCGGTTTGAGACTTTGTTCGACACTTTGTCTTGGGACTGTTTTGGGACTTTGTTTTGGAACTTTCGCTTTCTGGACTTTTGCGCTCAGGCTTTCAGGAGCTTGTTATGCCTTATTGCAGCATGAAAAATTGTTAGGAGGAAGGTACGTTGCCGGAGCATATGTTTCTACAGGGGGGCTCATCTTTGTTGGGGCAAGTCTTCTCAGTGCAAGCATTGGCTTTCGGGATATCTGTAATTCACCGGTTGCTTATCTCTTAGAATCGCTTTGTTTTTCTGGAACATCAACAGTTGAAGGAGCAGTGACATCAAATTTACTCATGTCAAGATTTTTTCGTCGAGTAGCTATCGATCCCCTAGTAGTGATTCGCCACCTAAAACGCGTCTGAGGTACGAATCAATATCTGTAATATTGATTAATGTATCCACTATCGAACGTGGTTCAAAAAGGGTCGAAAGCCCGCCAAATTGTAGTGCTGTCAGCGCTACCTCGCGGCCACGTCGAGGCTGCTGCGCAGCTGACGCTGCTTCCACAAAAAATGGTGATGTCAGGCACACTGGTATTTCGTCTGCTAGGAGCGCAATGCAGTCAGTACAGCTGTCTCTCTGATGATGTAGACTAGAGCCCCTCCATGTTTTAATGCCGGCTAGGTTAAGTAGGGCCAACTCATTGTTTCTTTCTCCCTTTAGCCCCAACCCTGAGAAGGGGCAGCTGGTACTGCCAGTGAAACCCAACTGATTCACCAACACAGAATTTACCTTGTAGCAGCACGGCGCAAAGTGAAGCAAGCGAATGCGGCTGTTCTTCGCAGGCGTCCAGTCTCTCTGTTCATTGGCGCATTCAAAGTGAATCCACTGGCTGCCTTGAGGTTTGTGGCTTGGAAAGGGCATGAAACGCCATGCAACTTCTGCTTTTTCTGCGCCTCGACGGGCAGGTTTCCACTGCGCAGTGGTTCCCCGACATTTTGGCATGTGTTGTCACTCTGAATGATCGTACTCACGCTGTGAAGCACATGTCAAATCAATCAATGCGACACGATGAATCGCACGTACGCTTCAACACAGAAAGGAGAGCTGTTAGTGAGGGCATGGCCGGGAGTCGGCTCCAAACACACTCAGATCTTCGATGTCATTGTTACCTAGCGTATCATCATTCAGGATGGTATTTCTGGAATGTATCACACCGAACACGTAGCACTAGTGTTGATGTCGCAGGGCAGTCTATTCTCCGTTTTTTCTTCTTAGCTTTTCCATGCTGTTTGACATCGAATTAAAATAAATACCACGCGACGGATGCCGTTAAAATTTGGCCAAGAAGACCTATGCATACCATGCGATCGAATGATGGGCTCGATCTTGAAACTTGATGTCAGTGCTCCTTTAAGTGTGGTTATAGCGAAATTGACAAAGTCTCGGAAAATTTAGTTACAAAGAGGATTTCGTTATATGCAGGCTCGGTATGAATATTCAAAAAGTAAATGCACAAATTGCAGAAAAAGGAACTGAAGGCAGAGCTAACCCAAAACACATGCTTAGTGGTAAAAAACTGAGTTCTGATTGTGATAGTAATTACTGTATTTATTCGCGTAATCCTCGCACTTGCATAATTCTGGCACCCCTTACATCGCCCAGCAAGAATGCAATTTTTTTTCCTGCGAGATATTATCGCACCCCCGAAAATTGCAGCAGTCATGTTGTCTGCTTGTTCCAACCACTCATGATGATAGCGCATGCCATCTGGCGCCATCTCTTAGGCCTCAAGCATGCTTCATTATATAGAGGAATTCGTTATATGGTGGCTCGTTATTACCGTACTTACTCGCGTAATCCTCGCACTCGCACAATTCTCGCACCCCCCACATCGTCCAACAAAAATACGATTTCTTTTTTTCTCGAGTATTTATCGCACCCCGGAAAACTGCTGCAATAATGTCCTTTGCTCTTTCCAGCCATTGATGATGATAGTGCACGTCATTTGGCGCCATCTCTTAAGCATCAAGCGTACTATTGCACAGAGAGTCAATCCAAGCCAAGCCGAAATGACCAGTGCGCGTTGCGGCGTGTTTTGTATGTTGTGTCGATAATCTTGTCACGTTATGAGGCGATACTAAAGCTACACGGCTGCTTTCGAGTTGCAAGTTATAGATCATGCTCTAAACAAAGGCAACAGGGCCACCGGTAGGCCCTTCGGAGTCTAAGAGTTTTGTGTTCGCTACTGGTGACGGCAGCTGAAAGCCACTAAGACGCATTGGGCCTGCCGTGTGCCTAAAACTGGGATTGATGGTAAACTTTATTTCTTAAGAAGGAAACTGCGGACAATTCTGTTAAATAGCCATCAGCCCAATACTGACGTCCCACGCTTAGCTTTTGAGAGCTCCTGTTGAGCGACGAACCCTACCGCTATGCCCGCAACGTGCGCAAGCTGTGCGTATCGTATTCTAATTCTCGACTGTTTGCTTCCACTTTTTGTGTCTCAATCAAATCTTGTCTTTTATTGAGCCTCTGCTTTTATTGTTGAGGTAAGTTTTAATTAGTGCTTCTTAAAGCTTGGTGTTAGTTGCTGGTGTGAGAATCCCGATTTGCGGCCACTTCGTTTTCTTTTTCGCTCTGTACGTTTTCGTAGAACGTTTTCCCCGCATAATTCTCGCACCCCCCTACTTTTCATTGGTTTTCCGGCAAAAAAAGTGCGATGATTATGCGAGTAAATACGGTAGCAGGATCAAGTGTATTTTACTTATTTTGACCCTGTTTACATGCATCAAAGTGTTGCGATCGGGGAGCTTGACCATGTCTCTCCAGTCACTCTTCTTGCAAAAGAAAACAAGAACTAAGAATAAGAATTCACTCAGTAACCTTGTGCGGTGAGTTTACCTCAGTTCCTTGAAGAAATATTATCCCTGCCTGTTCCTATGTTATTTTTTTTAGTGGGTTGAGTGGAGTTGTGGCATGTCAAGCAGGAGCTTGATGCTCATTAACATCCAACAAATGTTACTATTACTTTTGATGGATCTTTTAGCTTCTCTTTTTACTGTACTGTTTCATTGAGCCATTTTTTTAGTTCATCGGTATCTTTACTATTATTATTTCGATTCTTTGGCACTACTCCTTAGTTGCATAGAAGCAGTGGCAAGGCACCATGTTGCTTCGGTTTTTTTTTTTACGAATAGTACCTTCAGTTACAGCGTCTATTCTTTGCAGTTGCATTTCTCATGCACGAACAGCTGCATTTTTTATGCTGACAGCTTCACAATATTTTTTCTTTCCTTTTTTAATGTTCTTCTTTGATTTTTTCCACCACACAGGGATTGCCTGCATCATACTGTCCGTGGTGGATGCCCAGGGACGGCCAGTGCAGTTCCTGAACAGCCCACTGCCTAAGGTGGGTGCCTTCAGTGGCACCGAGCCGCCCACCGAGTACCAGGAAGTGTCGTTTCTTTCTCGGGAAGAGGTTGGTGATGCTGGTGCTGACGGCACGCCTGGTGAGAACTAATTCCTGTGTTCTTTGGTTTCTTCGGGGCGACGACGTTGTAAGTTTAAATTAGTGCCACTGGATTGTTCAGCAATAGTCAAGTCTCTTGGGCCGTGTTACTACAGTTGAACCCCTTTGTAAGAGACATGCACGAGACACCGATTCTAGTCTTTTATATGAGGTGTCTTTTATAAGCAGGGCATCAGGTCTGCATTTTCTTATCAACAACTATTTCAACATTGCCATACTGGTGTCTTTTATACCCTTTTGTCCCTTACATCAATGTCTCTTGTGTTCGATTGTATTCAATGCAGTGTAGTGAAGAAGATGAGTGCTACTCAGAAAGGCAGGGGGTATGACTCAGCCGGTGAAGAAGACGACGTTTGGTTGGCTGTGTACTCAGACTGGTTCCGCCATTACCACTTGACGTGTCGTGACCGCTCTCCTGTTTTATAAAAGAGTGCCACTCTAAAACGCCTCATTATAATTGGTGGAGGTGCGGGGTAACGCCTAATCCTGGAATTGTGAAACCGTACGTTGCCTCCAGTTGCTACGATGTCCACGAACGACGATCAGCCTCGGCTCTAACTACTGCAGCTCCTGTCTGTCTCAACTCCTTTCGGCAACGTGATCCGCCTACCTTCAGTGGAACCGATGACAAAGACGTGGAAGACTGGCTCGACGAATACGACCGGGTGAGCAAGTACAACAAGTGGGACGATGCGCACAAGCTTACTGTCGTCCAATTTTATTTGACTGACGTAGCCAATCTGTCGTACCGCAATCACGAGAGAGACCTCCCCACCTGGTCGGCCTTCCGAACGGCGTTCGCGGACTTGTGTGGCCGTCCAGCGCTTCGCAAACTACGGGCCGAACAGCGCTTGCGTACTAGGGCTCAGCAGAATGGTGAGAATTACACCAGTTATATCGAAGATGTGGTCGACCTTTGCCGGCGTGTCAACTCGGCCATGACAGAAGCCGAGAAGATCAAACACATCTTGAAAGGCGTGACTGACGACGCATTTCAGATGCTTGTCGCCAAAAGCCCGCGAACGGTAGCGGAAGTGATCCAACTTTGTCAGAGCTATGATGAGCTCTGGAAACAGCGTGACACCACTCGTCATGCCAACGCGCCATGTGCAACAATCTCCGCTTTATTGTCGCCTGGCACTACTATAGACCACAACACTTTGCTTCTCGAGATCAAGCAATTTGTACGAGAGGAGGTCGCACGCCAGTTGTCCCTCGTGCCTTATACCTCCGAAGGTGCCCCATCTACTTTAGCGCCATCAATACAGCGAGTAGTCTGGGAGCAAGTGTCCGAGGCGCTACCAGCAGCTCACGCACCACCTGTGGCTGCTCCATTGACCTATGCCGAAGCACTGAACGGAACCCGACGTCCACTTGTCGCAAACGGCCACGCTTATTTGGCACGAACGCCTACGTCCACGCGCTCCTTTGTCATACCGACTGAGCCTATGTACCAGGCTGTCCGTCCCTTCTCCCGACCACCACCTTCGCGCTTTCAGAACCCTTGGCGCACTCAATACAGCCGCCCCATATGCTTCGCCTGTGGAATTGTGGGGCACGTGGCACGATTTTGTCGACGGCGTGAGTTTTTCCTGCGTGACGACGTCAGGCCCAACAATTATGCTTTCCCACAACGACCAGAGCCTGCTGTATCTGGCGAGACTGTGACCATGGACACATTTTCACCTCACCGGAACTTCAACAGACACCGGTCGCCTTCACCTCAACGCCGTTCTCTTTCCCCTATGCTACGTCGACCTCGCCCTGTCCCTGAGGAAAACTAGGAGCCGCAGTTCCGGGGGCAAGAACTGCGGATCTTTCGAACTCCACAAGACCTTGTTTTTCGCCGTCCAACGTCGTTGCTGTCTCCGTTGAAGGTATACCTGTTTTTGCATTGGTCGATACTGGCGCCGCAGTGTCTGTAATGACTGAAAAACTTTGCCGTCGACTAAAAAAAAGTCACAATGCCTCTTCACGACTTCTTTTTGAGCACTGCAAGCGAGCAACGAATTCGCCCTTTTGCTGCATGCACAGCACGTGTCGCTATTGCTGACGATATTTATGTCGTCGAGTTTGTAGTGCTCCCGCAGTGTTCCCATGACATTATATTAGGCTGGGACTTTCTCTGCACTCATCATGCCGTCATCGACTGTACTCGCGCCGAAGTGGAATTCGCGCCGTTATGCGACGCTGCTTCACTCGACTCGTCCCTTTCACCTGCAAAAGTTTTCGTTGCCGCTGACACTTCGATACCCCCGTTCTCATCCGCCCTAGTTCCGCTTTCCTGTGACGTCTCTAGTGGCTCAACTGTTCTTTTTACGCCTTCTGAAACCGCTGTTCGCCGCAAGTGCTTCCTGATTCCTTTCGCCGTTCTGAATGTTCACAAGGCATCAAGTGCAATTTATGTTTCAAATCCGTTTCCCTCGCCTTCCAAGTTACTGTACGGAGAGTGCTTGGGCTTTGCTGATGACATTGATCCCTCGAGTGCACGTGTAGTTCCTGACCACTCGACTACGCTACCTACTGACGCTGTTGATTGCTGCGCGTCATCCTCTTCCCCATCATTCACCGACGCAATTTCGCGCTGCATCGACACCAACCTTACGGCCCAGCAGCACACCGACATCATCGCCCTCCTCGAGCGCTTCCGGGCCAGCTTCGACCACCAGCAACCGACTTTGGGTCGTGCTTCCACAGTATCTCACGAAATCGACACTGGCCTTCACGCTCCTTTACGTCAGCGTCCGAATCGGGTATCGGCATCTGAGCGTCGCATAATCGCGGAACAAGTTGACGACATGTTGAAGCGAGGTGTTATTGAGCCCTCTAACAGCCCGTGGGCATCCCCAGTTGTTCTAGTCAAGAAAAAGGATGGCTCAATAAGATTCTGCGTCAACTACCGCCGGTTGAATAAGATCACACGCAAAGATGTTTACCCACTACCCCGCATAGACGATGTCCTTGACTGCTTACAAGGCGCGAAGTTCTTCTCGTCACTAGATCTGCGTTCAGGTTATTGGCAGGTTCCCATGGCTGAGGCTGATCGCCCCAAGACGGCTTTTGTTACCCCTGATGGCTTATACGAATTAACGTCATGCCATTCGGGCTCTGCAATGCGCCTGCCACTTTCGAGCGCATGATCGACAACATCCTCCGTGGCCTGAAATGGCAGACATGTCTGTGTTATTTAGACGATGTCGTGATATTTTCAAGCGACTTTTCAACGCATCTTCAGCGGCTCGAGACAGTGCTTACTTGCCTCACCTCCGCCGGTCTACAGCTCAACTTGAAGAAGTGCTGCTTCGGCGCTCGAAAACTCCTAATTTTGGGCCATGTTGTATCTAGAGATGGCATTCTTCCGGATCCGACGAAACTCCGTGCCTTGCCGAATTTCCTAAACCGAAGACCTTAAAAGAACTTCGCAGCTTCCTCGCTTTATGTTCATATTTTCGTCGTTTTATTCGCAACTTCGCCTCCATCATATCGCCCTTGACTGACCTTCTTGGCGGCAACAACGACCTTTCTAGTTGGTCGTCAGCTTGTGATGATGCATTTGCCACACTCCGCCACCTTCTTACGTCACCTCATATACTGCCACATTTTGATCCACTTGCCCTGACGGAAATACACACGGATGCTAGCGGAGTTGGCCTCGGTGCTGTGCTCGCCCAGCGTAAACCTGGATTTGATGAGTACGTCGTCTCTTACGCCAGCTGTGCACTCACAAAAGCAGAAGCCAACTATTTAGTCACCGAAAAAGAGTGTCTAGCCATCATATGGGCCATAGGCAAGTTTCGACCCTATCTTTACGGGCGCCCATTCAGTGTGGTTACAGATCATCACGCATTATGTTGGCTCTCCTCGTTAAAAGATCCCACCAGCCGGCTCGCCCGTTGGGCGCTTCGGCTACAAGAGTACGACATTCACGTCGTTTACCTATCTGGCCGAAAATATTCTGACCTGGCCGAAAACATTCCGATGCAGACGCTTTGTCCCGATCACCTCTACGATGTAGTGACAAGTCGCCGTCTTCGCCTGCCCTCGACGTATCTGCACTTAGTGTAAGCGACATGCTACAGGAGCAACGAAAAGATCCTTGGATCGCTTCACTTATCCATTTGTTGAGTCGAGCTCCCTTGCAAAATATCTCTAGAGGTATGCGCCGTCAAATACAGCACTTCGTTATCAGAGATGGTTTGTTATACAGACGGAATTATCTCTCCGAAGGACGCCAATGGCTCCTAGTCATTCCCAGTAGTCTCCGCTCAGACATATGCGCCTCCTTTCACGCCGACCCACAATGCGCCCATGCTGGAGTGTTAAAAACCTACACCCGCCTGTCCCACCGCTACTACTGGCGTGGAATGTATCGCTTCGTTCGTTGCTACGTGCGTTCCTGTCTCGCTTGCCAACGCCGGAAGAATCCTACTCCAAGTTCTCCAGCTCCACTACAACCCTTACCTTGTCCTGCCCGACCGTTTGACCGTGTTGGTATCGACCTGTATGGACCTCTTCCGATTACACCGGCTGGAAATCGCTGGGTAATCGTCGCTATCGATCACCTTACGCGCTACGCAGAAACTTCACCACTCTCTTCTGCGTCAGCCAGTGACGTCGGTCATTTAATACTGCATCAGATCATTTTACGTCACGGTGCACCACGTGAACTCCTGAGTGACCGAGAGCGTGTGTTTTTGTCGGACGCCGTCGAATCGCTTCTCAAGGAATGCCAAGTCATTCATCGCACCACCACTGCGTATCATCCTCAAACTAATGGCATTACAGAACGATTCAACCGTACATTAGGAGATATGCTGTCAATGTACGTCGCAACCGATCACACCAACTGGGACAGTATTCTCCCTTTTGTAACATACGCGCATAATACTGCTGTCCAGACAACCACTGGTTTCTCTCCATACTTCCTCCTTTATGGTCGCGAGCCCTCTTGCACGCTAGACACCATCCTTCCTTACCACC